AAAAAAAAATCCACCTTGTAACCCTGGGAAGCTACAGAATGTAACCACAGATCCTGGCAGTCCTGAATCCAAATGGACACAAAGGCCAACAGACACTCCCCCACTTGCAAAAAGTATGGACCCTGTCAGCAAGCATTGGAATGGGCTAAAAGGGAAATCTTTTTTTTAAAATCAGGTTTTATTTAAACATTTTAAATGTAAAACATTAAAATTTTTTTTTAAAGTACATGCACTATAATGCCAAAAGCATTGGGACTCCGGCCTTTACATGCAAATGAACTTTAATTGCATCCCAGTCTAAGTCCGTAGGGTTCAACATTGAGTTGGCCCTCCCTTTGCCGCTAACAGCTCCAGCTCTTCTGGGAAGGCATCCACAAGGTTTAGGAGTGTGTCCATGGGAATGTTTGACTATTCTTCCAGAAGCACATTTGTGAGGCCAGGTACTGATGTTGGAGGAGAAGGCCTGGCTCGCAGTCTCTGCTCTAATTCATCCCAAAGGTGTTCTATCGGGTTGAGGTCAGGACTCTGTGCAGGCCAGTCTGATTCCTCCACCCCAAACTCACTCATCCATGTCTTTATGGACCTTGTTTTGTGCACTTGTGTGCAGTCATGTTGGAACAGGAAGGGGCCATCCCCAAACTGTTCCCACAAAGTTGGGAGCATGAAATTGTCCTAGTTGAGACTCTAATTTTTGTTAATATGCAAAACATCGCAGAGAACAGTATGACACAAAACATAGTTTGGTCCAAAAGATCTGTTCTAATTTTATTATGGCGCATCTGGTTTTTAAGATAAAAAGAGGGGAGTGGAGTGTAATGTAATGTTCTGCAGAGCTAGCTAAATGGATAATATAGGTCAGTAGATATCTTGAAGTTGCGATACTAAATTTCTAGGAGAGGTGAGAGCACTCGTGTAAACGTTCAGTCTTCACCAGAAAACAATGGACATAAGTATTTTATTTATTACAGTATTTTATTTATTACAGGTATTGTGGTCACATCTGTCACGTAACCGTATATGGAACAATTACCTGCTGTTCGGGATAGATGATTGTTCCAGGACGCAGATAGATTGTGTCCAGGGACAATCATCTAACCCAATCCACAGGTAAATCGTTCCTTGTATGCTTACATGCAGACAGCCACTGTCAGATGTGGCCACAGTCAGGTTCTCAGAGATGATCAGGAACTGATCAGAGAGGTCCCTGACCATGTGATCATCTATGCAAACTATGACATCATAATCACATAAGGCTGGAGGCTTTGTTGAAAAAAAAAAAAAAAGCCATAAATCTCTGGTCACAAAAGGAATAAAATATATCTGAACTGAGAAAAATGTGTAGGCTGCCATTCCTGACCTTTTAAAATGCTAGTTGCCCGATTGTTTCTGGCCTCAATATTTTGTGTCACTGACCTGAAACTAGCTTGCAGCAGTCAAAACTCCATATTTGCACTGTTGTGGGAGATTCTGGAAAAAAATAAAAACCCATTTCCAGTAATACTTACTTGGCTTTCATACCAGGTTTCACTTCCACTGTTTTGTCAGAGGCATGGACAACACGCACGGTAACTTCTCCAGCCTCGGGATTATTTTGTCTCCTTAGAAAATCATTGACACGATTCTCCAAAAATGAACCTAATCTTGTAGTTGGCATTCCTGTTGAAAGAATTTGTAAGAGTCTTAATTGGTATATTCCAATATTTTAGGACGGCTTCAACTAAAAATCCAAGGCACTTACGTTTTGCTGAAAACTTGTTCTCTTTTCTGGTTTGACCGCTTTTCTTCAGGCAACCATCGCAAACAAAACTACAGTTAAAAAGAAAGAAGTCAAGTTTACAGAAAAAAGGCCTCAAACCCATGTATAATTTACCAACACAGCAGATGTTGCATAGAAAGATATGGATGATCCACAAAAAAATAGATTTTATGGTTTTTAATAGAAATGTCATTATAATCCGAGTATTAAGTAAACACTTCCTTCATCTTAAAGTATCTAAAGCCAAAAATAGGATTTTTGTTCTCACCATAAAGTTATTTATCTAGATTCCATTGGGGACAAGGGAAGTTTTTAACCCCTTAGCGACCAGTAACGTACATAGTACGTCACTGGCAGCGGGCCCGTTTAAACAGACTGCCGCGTTTACAATAGAAGTGATTCTGGCGGCTCAGCTGCCATCAGACCGATTCTACGGGCCGGTTAAGTGCCTGCCCCCACTCATGCCAACACCCCCGCTGTGTTTCCCAGGCTCCGCTGCCCCTCCTGCGGGCCTGAGAACGGCATCCTGGGTCTTGGCGGGAAGCTAGACAGGAGAGCGGCGAATGTCCGTTCACCGATCTCCTCCCCGTTCCATGGGACCAGGAGTGACGCATATTGCATTACTTCCGGTCCCTGACCTGACATTGTTTGGCTCCGAAAGTCAAGCAATAAGCTATTTAAGTGCGATTTGCACTGCAATTGCTTAAAGTGGAAAGGTGAAAAGTTAAAAAAAAAGAATAAAATAAATGTAAAAATGATGATTTTTAAAAAATGTAAAAGTCCCCTGCGAGCTCTCACGTAAACACGCGTTGGGCGTGCCTACGTAAGAAAACGTTGATCGCATTACTCATGTTGGGTATCGCAGCACATGCCAGAGTGAGAGCAATAATTCTAGGGCCATTATTTACACATAGCTCTAAATTGATGACCTGTAGGGGCTCTTAAAGCGTTGCCTATGGACTTTTTGGGGTACTGAATTTTGTCGTGGTTTCACAGACGCACAAAATTTTTGATCTGGACATGCTGGGTATCTATTTACTTGTCGTAAGCTCATCTTTTATATTTTACAAAAAAAAAAATGGGTATTATATTGTGTTTTGGGGGACTAAATTTAATTTGTGCATTTTTCACTAAATTTATGGGTTTGATAAAGAGTTGCGTTAATATTGTGCAACATAAAAATGTGCAACTGCCGCCATTTAATTTTACAGGGTCTTGGCTTTCAGACTTTCAGGCCTAAAATGTGAATTATAACATGTGGGCAAAAAAAAGAAAATGTCTTGGCAATGAAAGGGTCCTTAAGCGGTTAATCTTCACATTATACTGCTGCTAGACACTGGCAAACAAACTGTGGGAAACCCAAGATAACCCCTCCTACTACCAGCAAACCTCAGTTTTGTAGCATTTGTAGCAAAGCAGTACCAATAGCAAGGTCTTTAACACAGAGAGGTGGGATCTGTGTCCCTCAATGGACCCCAAGAAAAGGATTTTAGGTACAAAAATATTCTCTCTCTCATTGATTGAGGGGGACACAAACTCTTATATCTTCAACGAGCTAAGATGACCAATAAAGAAAAGAAAATTTGGGACCATCTGCATCTCAAAGAGCTGGCTGAAGGACCTCACACCCGAAGTTAGCATGGTGGAACTTGAACTTGTGAACAGAAGACCAGGTGACAGGCTTGCTAATCTGAGAAACCGATACTTGATGCAGAAAAGCCAATAAAGCACTCACAGATCTAGGAGAGTGCACCTTGACAAAGAAATGTAGAGCCTGATTCTGGAGACCATGAGCTTGAGTCTATCGTCTTCTTAAGCCACCTAGAGGTGGTAGTGCAATAAGTCGGTGCACCTTTCTAGGGTTCATCTGGGAAGACAAAAAGGGAATCAGTCTTTCTAAAAGAAGCAGAAAAGACAGATTCTCGAAGCTTGAGCCACATCCAGACAATGAAGACAAATTTCCTTTTGGTGAAAACAGAGATGGAAGAACCTTAAGTGCGATAGAAGCACTGCGTCCTAAACCACCTAACCCCCCCCCCCCCCTTTACCTTTAAAGGGTATCTACCAGGATAAGGCTGTCGGTTCAGATACATGCTCTGCAGAAATGATGGCTATGAATGAAAGAAAACCACCTTGTGGGTGAGATTAGAAAGAGGAATATCCCTAACAGGTTTAAACAGTAGTTTCTAAAGTACAGATAGAAGCAGTTGAGATCCTGCATAGTCAGAGAGCAATGGGTGGTGGGAACTACATGAGAGACTCTGTACCAAAGGTTTTTTTTCTTTTCTTTTTACCAAAGAGTGAGAGGCCAAAGATTCTGGGGGAGGAAAGACATAGATAAGGGTGTGCTGATTTAATGGAGCCACCAAAGCATGCATTGCTTTTGCTAATGGATCCCTGTATCTGGAGACAAACTGGTTCGTTTAAGAAGTTGGAACCCAGACGGTTTACATTTGGCACCCCCAACTGTGACACAGATCCTGGAACACAGGCAGGTTTAGAGACCCCTCCCCCAGTTCCATGCACTGTTGGCTACGAAAATCTGCCTACGAATTGTCTATGCCCGAAATGTACAGGACAGTCAAGGCTGGAGCAAAAAGTTCTGTCCAGAACAGAATCAGATCTAAATTTTGCCACAGCAAGACTTGAGGATCCTCTTCTGATGGACAATGATACTGTGGTGGCAAACATCAGCCAACTGAATCCAAATCAAATGACCTTCCAGCATGAATGGGGAATGGAGAGTGCAGGACTAGTGCAGGGGCCAGCACCTTGGTGAATGCCCGCGGTGCAGACATGAGGTCCAAGGGCAGGACCATGAGCTGGTAGTGTAGAGGTCCCCCGGTAAAATGTAGAAAAAGCTGATGCTCAGGAAAGATGGGGACATGCAGGTAGATGTCCTCGATGTCCACAGAAGCCAGAAAGTCTCCCTGGTGAAGGGAGGAGATGGCAGATTTGGTGGATTCTATGCAGAATTTCTGTGCTTAAATGAAGCCATTTAGAGCTGCGAGATCTAGAATGGGGCAGATGCCCCCTCTGGGCATGGGAACAGTGAATGGGTTTGAGTCAAATCCCTGAAACCGTTGTGCCAAAGGAACTGGAGCATCGACATCTTGGTCCAAAAGACCTGAAAGCGCTTGATGGAGATCTGCTAATTTATGTGGTGACATAGGAAGGTTAGAGGTAAGAAACCAATGGAGGTGGAAGAGCAAACCATCAGTTTGCACCCCAAAGATACCAACTGCTACATGCTGTCCAAGTGTCTGCAAAAGTTAACACATGTGCCTCACTCTGAAAAAGGGGGGGCACCTTCATGCAGGCTTGTCTGAGAACTTGGCACACTTTTAGCCCCAGGCCTTGTGGGTGGACTGGGGACTAGGCTTGGAGGGTCTTGACGAGGAAGTCAAGGGAGAGGAGAAACAAAAGGGACATTTCTTAGCAGTGGAGGAAGGGGTAGACTTCACACTCTGCTCTGAAGGTTTCTACCTTTGAGGAAACTGTGTGCTTTTGCCACCAGCAGCGTCCTTGAGGATGGTATCAAGAGTTGGTCTGAAGAGATGTCCCTTGAAGGCCATGTGGATCAAACACTTCTTATACAAGGACTCGGCAGTCCAGCACTTTGACCAAAGTGCCCTACGCATGTGTACAGACATGAGACCCATGAAAGAAATGAGAAAGAAGCTTTCAGCAGACCATCAACTGAAATCTTAAACTCCAGATATTTGCTCCACGTGTTCAAAAACCAAGAGAGTTAACTATAGCAGAGGTTAGATCTCTTGAAACAATCAGACTTAATAACGTTAAGTCATAACCAGGGTAGGTTGAAGAGCAAGCCCAGCTAGCCAAAACAGAACTTCAATGAGCTCAAGAAAAAGCTTTCAACCGCTTACTGGTTGGGCCCTTAAAGACAGGCGCATCCTCTGTTTGAATAGTTAGCACCTTGTTAAGGCAAGACACTGCTGGATACACAGTTGGTATAGACCACTTTTGCAAAAAAACCTCCCCAAACAAATAAAAAGCCTATAAGTGCTTAGAAGGAGCAGACAGCTTATCAGGGTGTTTCCAATCTCCGTATAGAAAGAACAAAAAAAATTGGGTGGAAGTGGATAGTCTCTGCAGCCTTAATTTTTTTTTTTCTTCAAGTTTAAGAAAACCATAGATGTTTGTTATGTGCTCCCATTCACACAAAATACCTAAACATTTTTTTTAGAAATATTTCTTACCTTTATAGAGATGTTTCTTTAGAGTGGGCTTTTGGACAGACTGCAAGCTACTTTGAGCAATTTGAAAGTGAAAGTAGAGAGGGACACAGTGGGGACAGCCTCAGGTCCCTCACATTAACATACAAAACACAGGTACTTGAGATTTTAAAACCTTTGTTAAGACAGTCTAGTTAGTTTGTTTAGTTTTTAGTTTGAGTTCAAATCTAAAGTACAACTGATGAGATCTGCCGGAACAGTATATGCAGCGTAAGTTATGGTAAACATTAATTCCATAGCCCGATCCTTTAAATTACATAGCAGGAGAAAAACTTCAGCTTTTGAGTTTTCAGAAAAGAGCAAGAAAAAAATGTATGGCACAATTTTTTATGCCCAGTTATGAAGTGTGGATAGAACGATGTAACAAATATAAGGTAGGTTCCTCAAAAAGAGAGGAATTAAATGTATGTACACCAACGCTAGAAGTCTGGCAAATAAAATAGAGGAGCTTGAAATTAGGTTAATTGAAGAGGACTTCGACATAGTGGGTATAGCGGAAACCTGGCTGGACAGCACGCATGACTGGGCTACTAATATAGAGGGGTATAACCTGTTTAGGAGGGACAGAGGTGGGAGAAGAGGGGGGGGTGTTTGCATTTTAATTTGACTGCAAAAATGAAACGGCACAAAGGACCCAGGACTCTAAACTGCACTGGTATAGCAACAGGCTGATCCATCCTATAGTTTCAGAGCGGTCTTTGTGTAGCACAAGAAAACAATCCTTACAGGTAAGGCCACCAACTCAGAAACTCGCTTTGCAAAAGTGATGGCTACGAGAAAGGCAACCTTGAGAGTAAATTCAGACAGAGGAACATCCCTAATAGGTTTAAAGTGGGGCCTCTGAAGAGCTGATGCGCAGGTTGAGGGCACTATGCGTTACTGGGAACCATATAGGAGGGGCACTGTGTGCAACACTCGGTAGAAAGACATTCACTAAAGGAGAAGTGGCCTGAAAGAAATGTTAAGGCTGAGATTTGACCTTTCATGCTACTCAAGGCCAAACATTGATCCAGATCTGACTAGAGAAAACACCGGATTTATCCCATTAATATTTTCTGGGATGGAACTTCCTACTCTTGTACTAAGTGCAATGACTTTGTGGGAAGTGAATTTCCTAGCGTTAAGAAGAGTAGGAATGACGGAATCCGATAGACCCCTGTCCCTCAGTACTGGGGCTTAAAATCCAATATTAGCCAATAGACCGGACTCACATTCGCTACAGACTAGATCACACCAGAGGCTGTGCCAACACAGTAGAGAGCCAAGTGGCTGAACGTCCCATTCCACAAAAGCCCTGCATATTTAAGTCAAGTGGGATCCAGACCAGGTCAAGAAACCTAGAGGCTGTGCCATGGCTCTGGAACTGGACAGCACTCTGCAGCTAGCCAACAGTACACAGAGGTTTGGAAAGTGCCACAATGCACAGTGCTGTGCCCAAAAGGTTACATTCCAGGCTAACCCTGCAAATTTTGATCCAGTGGCACCAAAGTACAGCCTCTAACAATTTTGCGCAGAACAAGCTGTTCCTGATAACTGCTAGGTAGATTCCATCCCTCAATGGACGATAAAGAAATTGTTTTAGGTGAAGTTCCACTTAAATAAGCATAGGTCCCGCAAATCCTTGTGTAGTATGGCAAGTTGTTTATTCTTTACACAGCAACTATTGTACATACTAAACACATCCTGAATTCATGTAAACTGAACTGAAGAGATAGAATATAAGGGAAAAACTATTTACCCAGTTGGCCAGATTGTCTCATTATGAAGAACACAAATTTGGTGCATTTTCCGACCACAGTCTAAGCAGTCCACAAACCTAAAATAAAAACTCAGCATTACATTTATCTTAAAGTGTAACCACAGTATAACCTAACAGTATGAAAAAGGATTGTAAGGGCTTTTTGGAGCACTGATTGATGTATATGCTACATATGCATTCTGTGAATTTGTATACATTCTGCTGGTAGCTAATGAAAGTGTAAAGCAAATAAAGCGTTTATAAAAAGGCCATAGTTATAGTAGTTCTACAGTAAATTTCATATGCTATTTTAACTTGTCTAACAAAATGCTAAAAGGGCCACAGTGAGTATGCTTTTACAGAAAGACTAATAAAAAAAAACACTTATGAGAAGCCTGTAGTTACAAATTAAAAACAATCTTGTAGTGAATACATACTGTTCAGGGTCCAGGGTGTCATTTTTCTGCTTGGAAAACTGATCTTTGTTGATGGTACTAAAGTGAATAAAAAGAAAATATCAGAAGAATTTACAGCACAGAGCATGCTCAGATCTATTAACAAATTAAGTGCTGTGTTTACACATCTCCTAGCAATGTGTGAACTTCCTATATGTAGATATAGAAATCAGTATAAAGAAAAGAAAACAAAAAAAAACTAGATGGACTGAAAATGCAGTAATTTACTAACTAATCACTTAAACTACAAAAAAGGACTGAAATACCAGAGTCTAAAATAACAATCCTACTTTGACTACAGACCAGTGTAAAACAAAAAAAAACAGGTTAAAAAGAACCAACGCAGTGGTCAATTTTAAATGTTAAAATGGGAACTTTAGTTATTTCAAACAATTCTACCACATAGGTTTTTGTGGAAGAAACTTCTCACATCTGCAAAAAAAAACAACCCAACACAGCCAGCTGCGGGCTGGCTTTTCTAATAAGGTTTAGTTTAGTTAAGCATTATCTTTTATGGGCCGACTACTATCTGCAAAGTTATACAGACCTATATTAGAGGTCCTGTACGCTCAAGGACTCATTACCAGGATATCAAAATTACACTTTCTATTCACAACACAGCATAATTTCACTAAGGAAAACCAGCGTAAAATGTTATTTTACCTATTTTTTTTTTTAACTTGATTGCTATCACACAAGCCCCCTATGTGATAGCACTTTGAAGATAAGTTCTATTTAAGGTGACAATAGGGTCTATTAGACCCCCTAGGGCCAACTTTCCACTTCATTGGGGAATGACAGCTGCCTGCAGAGGCAGCTGCATATAAAACATAGCAGGCAGGGGCTGGAAGCAATAGCCAGCCTGCTATTGGCTTTTTCAAATTGCAATAGCAGGCTGGTTATTGCAGCCACCCACCCTGCTGTCAATTATCAGAGAAGGGACCTGCAGGAGAAAGTTCTCCTGCAGGTCCTCCTCTGCTGATTGACAGCAGACAGTGGGCGGGTGCAATAGCCAGCTTGCTATTGCATTTTACAATATCCAATAGAAGGCTGGGTATGGCTCCCAGCCTGCAATGACGAGTAGGCAGGGGGGCGGAGCAGAGGAGCCGCGGCAGGACCAGGAGACCGGAGGATCGTCCGGACCGGGGAAGCTGACGGAACGGCTGAAGAGGAAGCCAGCACATCAGCGGAGGGACGTGGGGCATCGGCGGTATGCAGCGGTCTGTGTCCCCGCTGCCTCCGCCAACACAGGCGCAATAGTCAGCCTGCTATTTGCTAGTGCAATTTAAAATAACCACTAGCAGGCTGGCTATGGCTTCCAAGCGCTGGATGGGGCAGTGGTTGCCAACATTCTAGCGCCGGCGACACGTGTCCCATCCAGCGGCTGGGTCAGTTGGGAGGCAGGGGCGCAGGGCACAGTGGCTGAGAGCAGACTCTCCTCCCCGCTGGGCACCGGCTGAAGGGCAGCGTGATTGAAAGAAACAGACTGCTGCAGGTGGCGCCGAGCACTGAGGAGGACAGGAGAGCAGAGTCGATTTAAGTGGTAGAGGAGGCAGTGGCAAGGGAAAGTGAACAAGCTAACAAAAGCCCAGGAGCCAAGTCGCAATTTCAAGTAGCCATGGCGACCTGGCAGCTGGGATTTGTCGAGCCCTGAATTATACCATGGAGAATGCATAGAGTTAAACTATTTGAGCGTAGGAATTTGTTTTGCAGTAGGCTGGAAGTAATACACACATATAGACGACCAGTCCACTACACCAAAAAGTAACTGGCAAAAAAATCTGTTTTATAAACTGCAGTAGAAGACAATATTTAGAGAGATACAAAAACAACATAATGTGTATTCACACAGGATAGATTATCAGAATAAATATACTACTGTGTAAAAAAAAAAAAAAATGTATTAGGAAAATGTTACTTACGTCTGTGGCTGTGTTGGGTCATCGCCAAGAGATACACTCTCCCCTTGGATCTCATTGAAGCATTTTTCACAGAAGTGGTACCTATCAGCAAGAAGGCCATATTTGGGTGAACTGTTCGTTCATGCAACCACAGCCGAACCACGTGAAACGGGAGGTCATCAAAAGGACGTTGCAGGAGAGACACAGGGATTGCGCAGGTGGTCATCAAGCCAAGTCACATGCCAGGGTAATTTTGATTTTTTTTTTTTTTAAATTTAGATGATTGTTGTTTGAAATTCATGGCAATCAAAGTCACCACAAGTAAGGATAGGGAAGGGTAAGAAATTTACATACAACAGAGAAAGAAAGCAGGGTGGGGGTGGGCATGACAAACAGAAGCAAGACAAAACAACACAAAGCAGAAAGCCAATGCAAAGCACAGATTAGCAAAGGATTCTTTTGAAATGGGATTACAAGCAGCAAAATCACAGCAAATTAAAGGAAAGATTTAACAAAAACTAATTAGCCCACAAGGTTCAGGAAGAGGCAAAGTTTGTCTTCTTGCTCCGCTTAGAGAGGACTCTACTTTTTACTTAAAAAGTTGTTAACCTAAGCACTAGAAATATGTATATATTGACAGTCTACATAGAGGGGAAGGGTCAATAGTATTTCATAGTGTAAACAAAGGAAAGCAGTTCCATAGTCAAAAAACTAAGGTCAGAAAAACATGGAGGGCTTTTTAGGCAAGTATAGGACCTTCACACTTAAAATTGTATACAAATGTCATGTTTTATTGAAGACATTAAAATGCACAAAACAAACGCATATTGGTGCTCAACCTAAACTTGATCAGCATAAACCTTGTACTCTCCTATACAGGAGTGATGAAAAGTTGTGATCAATTAGTCCTTAATTGGAGTCAATAGATGGTTACGGTTGTGGAAAATTCTCTACGTGTTTCGCCACAGCCGTGGCTTCACCAGGAGGAACATATTCCAATAATGTGGATGACTGTAACCATATATGAATGTAACAGCAACTATTTTCCCAGGAGTGAGCAAACAGGACTGCAGAGGCTCCAATAATCAAAAACTTAGTTCTCCTTGGGGGGCCGCAGGAGAAAACCGAGCAGCGAGGAGAAGACTGAAATGGAGGTAATGCCCGTCAGTTCAGAATGCATAACATGTGTTGAGGCTTTCCAAGATGAGCAGCAAATGTATTTGCTGCTCATTTTGGAAAGCCTCAAAACATATGGAATGCTATCTGAACTGACAGGCATTACCTCCATTGCAGTCTTCTCCTTGCTGCTCGGTTTTCTCCTGCGGCCCCCTAGGAAGAACTAAGGTTGTGATTATTAGAGCCTCTGCAGTCCTGTTTGCTCACTCCGATGTGAGAATAGTTGCTGTTACATTCATATATGGTTACAATCATATACCTTATTGGAATATGTTGCTGCTGATGAAGCCAAGGCTGTCGCAAAACGCATAGAGAATTTTCCACAACAGTAACCATCTACTGACTCCAATTAAGGACTAATTGATCACAACTTTTCATCACTGCTGTATATGAGAGTATCAGGTTTATGCTGATCAAGTTTAGGTTGAGCACCAATATGCATATATGTTTTGTGCATTTTAAGGTCTTCAATAAAACATGACATTTTTATACAATTTTAAGTGTCTGTGAAGGTCCTATACTTGCCTAAAAAGCCCTCCATGATTTTCAGCCCTTAGTCTTTTGGCTTTGGAACTGCTTTCCTTTGTTTGCATAATTGCTCTACTGGGTGTGGCTGTGGGACCTTCCCCTCTTGAACATAATTATATTAATAGTATTCCATAGGATAACAAACTTATTACCTTAAAATGTAATGCAAGGGTACATTAATAAAAAAAACAAGGCATTGAAAAAAATACTTAATGGCTAAGTCTGTTACGTTTGAATTTAAGTCAAGTCGGTTTGGTAAATTACAGACTACAAAGTGGGCAAGCACTAAATAAAATAAGGCAAATCAGTATGTTGCTTATACATACTGGCAAATTGCAAAATATGTTACCTTTGTATCTTTGCTTATAAAATCTGGAATGATGCCTACAAATTTTAGCTATAAAACCACTTGTAAGAAAAATATTCTGATAAAACTCGGGGCTGATGGTGAAAGCAGGTCCCCAAATATCAGCGGAGTAAGATACAAATTTTGAAAGTACAATTTTATTATGACGAATGAAGAAATCATTCTATGAGGCTAGTAATGTTGGCAGTGCCAAAGCAGGGTTGCTTGAAAAGACACCATGCTGTGAAAAGCCACAAATTCCCTCTGGTCTCTCTCTCACACATGCGCACAGCATACAGGATACAAAATATATATATAAGCCTACTGTTCAAATTGATAAAAAAAAAAAGTAGCATATGTACATAACTAGGCATGTTTTTAAACAAATGAAATCTGGCAACCAAATTAGGCAAAGTTATGCAATGTCAACTGTCCATTTATAACCAAACTATTCCTTATTAACATAATCAACCAAAATGTATTCCAGCTATAGTTCTTATATAAAGTATTTACCCCCCTGGTATTTGGGCTAGTTCCTATAAAGTATTTACCCCCATTGGAAATTTCAAAGTTGTACTGTCATAGAACATTGAATTACAACAGATTTAATAATTGTTTTGACTGCTCAACTGAATCCTTCATGTCAAAGGGGTAAAACCTTCTCTGAACAAAAACAGATTTTTTTATACTCACCATAAAATTATTTTCTTTGCCATATACAGAAAGTCCATGATAATCTAAAGCAGAGCTGTTTCCTCCAATAATTGATATTGGAGTTACTCATATTTTTCATGGAGTCCATTGAGGAACATAGGAATACAGATACAGTCAGGTTATAATGCCATCTTCAGGCAGTAGATACACTGGCAAACAGAAAAGTTTTATGCTAGTCACCATTTAGCCCCCTCCTCCACCCAGCATGCCTCAGTTTTGAAAGAAAGCAATATACAGGGCCAGCAAAAAAACACAGAGGTGTGGGACCTGTGTCCCTCAATGGACTTCAAGGAAAAAAAAAAAACGTATTTCCTTAAGTTATCCGTTGAGGGGAACACAATTGTCAGGACATCAAAAAGCTGTCCAACTGAGGCAGGGGCTACAGCCAATGACTGATCCAAGAATGAACTAGGAACGGTTAGCAACACAGGACTAATAGAAGGACCAACAACCGTATCTGAACCAAATGAGGTGACGTCCCCTGCAAAACAATGGAATTTGCCAATGACCAAGAGATGGCCAAAGAGCATTAACCTGATGCAGAAGACCAGGATAGATAGGATTACTGCCAAGGGGAATTACTCTACCTAATGGAACACTGAGCCCACACGAGCAAGAGGCTGTAAAAATAAATAAAAAAACACACAAAATAGGTGGAACATCATAAACTTCTTCCCAGAACAGGCTCACAAGGGGAACATTTTTTTTCCAAACAGGTCCAAAAGACTTACACTTCCAACCCTTGAATGCAGCAAAAGAAGATTCAAGGTTAAGAATGAGGTCAATGGCCAGACAATCTTGCAATGAGATATTCAAGGAAAACGAGAAGCCCCATGGTGTAATATCCCATAAGGATAGCCCAGGGGTAGGCAACCTTGGCTCTCCAGCTGTGCTGAAACTACAAAACCCATCATGCTTCTGCCTCTGTGAGTCATGCCTGTGGCTTGCAATGCCTTATGGGATTTGTAGTTTCAGAGACCATAACATACAGGCGTACAGGTACTATTAAAAACTAGACCAGAGGGTTTCATATATACACATGCCCACACAAATACACACAGACACACAAAGGTTGAATTTGATGGACCTGTGTCTTTATTCAACCTCAAATACTATGTAACTTGTAAATCTTTGGTGCGACACCTTGTTCTACAATTTGAAACTCTTTCTTCCTCTGATTTGGAGTGGTCTTTTATAATAGAGAGTGTATGAAGGGAATATGTGGGACACTACAAATAGACCTCATATGTACAATTCTGTATTGGGTTCCAAGGAGTAACTGTTGGGAATCACGGTCAATGAGACCATATTTACAGCAGATCTTTGCTTTTTAGTTTTAGTATTATCTTTTCAACATCTTTAAATATATACAGATATTCTATCCTTCAGAAGTTTAGGAATAACAGAGTCCAACAGATCTCCATCTTTAAGACCTGGGCTTCAGCCTGCTTACCAGCTTGAAGGATTTGGAAGGCCAAGGCTTTCAATTGAAATGAGTCCCAGGTCTGGAATTGGACTTAAGAGGACTAGGAAAAATAAAAGGAACTCCTATTAGCTTCAAAAGGTAGAAATTATTCCCGTCTGCAGATTAGTCTTCTTTTGCTGATATAGGGTGCTCTTTCCTCCCGACATCTTTGATCAAGTTTTCCAGAACACAAAGAGGAGTTCCCAATAAAAGGCCATACCTGATAGGTGTCTTTTGCACTGATATTCCGCAGACCAGCATTTGAGCCAAAGTGTCCTCCGCATGTGAACAGGTAGGATACCTTTAATAGGGTATTGCTGAGCAAAGCACTCTGAGTTTATTGGTAAAGTTTTACCAGGATAGGGACTTTTAAGAGAGTTCAGACTGGTAAAGTTAAGAAATTCTGGTGCAGATTGCTCTAGGTTTAGGCATGTGTACACTGCATCAATAATGACTGATATGGTATCACTGAGCTTAGGAGTTATGTCCGCAGACTAAACCTCATCTTGTAGAAACTCTTCCAGAAAGGATAGGGTACATTCCTCATCACCCTGTGCTGAATGTGCAGAAGAAGCTGTAGGCAAATCAGTGATGGACTCTGGAAGAATTACACTTGTGACCCCTACATTCTGGGTCAGATATTATGGCAGAGATCTTGCCTAAAAATTCGGACATAGCTGCAAGGAGTGAGCAGCTTAGAAGAAAAGGGGTGCACAGTGTAAGATGAAGTATTGAAAAGTGTGCAAAAGTTAAGTGTTGGAGGAGGGTTGCAGCCTGCTGCCCTCTTCTAAGACTGCTTACCTCTTCACCCTCTGCATCCCTCTACCCCCTGCCGCAAGTAGTGCAAAGTTTGAGCAGAGTACGGACAGGGGTGCAGAGGTGAGCAGAGTACGGACAGGGGTGCAGAGGTGAGCAGAGTACGGACAGGGGTGCAGAGGTGAGCAGAGTACGGACAGGGGTGCAGAGGTGAGCAGAGTACGGACAGGGGTGCAGAGGTGAGCAGAGTACGGACAGGGGTGCAGAGGTGAGCAGAGTACGGACAGGGGTGCAGAGGTGAGCAGAGTACGGACAGGGGTGCAGAGGTGAGAAGAGTACGGACAGGGGTGCAGAGGTGAGCAGAATAGGAAGGGGGGTGGAGCGGTGAGCAAAGAAGTCAGATGCAGGGGGTGCAGAGGTGAGCAGTTTTAAAAGAAGGTTGCAGGGGGAACCAATGTTGGAAAAGGGGGGCAGAGATGAACCCGGGTGCTGGGGTCTGTGCTCATGGCATCTTGGATGCTGGTTGTCAGACTGTTGGGAGGCACCAGTGTCAACTCTACACCTGCAGTAGTGGAGCGATCACACAAAATCCAGAAGCGGTGCAGGGACTGAGGGAGTCAGGGACAGCATGGGTGAGTGGAGGAGATCTGCACTGAAGGACACACATAGCATTGCATGCAATGAACAGATGTGCCACCTGCCTAGTGCCTGCTATATATGTATCAATCTACCTCGTAATGATAGCATAACTGCAAGGTAGATCAACAGACATCCATGGCAGGCACTTGGCAGGTGAAACAAAGTTTATGCTCATACAATAAATGTAGGGGGAATACATATTTTACATTTCCATGCGTTTATTATATAAATAAAAGTATGGGAATGCAGAACATGTATTTCTATACTTTTATTGTATTCAATGGGCTGCCTTAAAGAAGAACTCAAGGATGTACATTTTATATATTTAGGTCCCTCTCAGTCAGAGGAAGCAAACTGCTGTAACCATTTATCATAAAGGTTCTTACTTTTCTTGTAATCATTGTATTTAGCTGCTAGTGATGTCACATCCTCTTATGTACAGATCAGTCCTTCCTGCAGCCAGTGGGAGGATCTAGGTAACCAGTGTCATCCTGGCAGAGAAAGCAGACTACATCTCCCATGAGCCATTGCAAAATAGAGGAAGTGGGAGGCATGTGAAGGCAGAGCTGAGGGTGGAGATGGGAAGAGCTACAAAGTGACTGCACATACATATTAGAGGTGCTTCTACATGACAAATTCCCCTGCTTTGAAGTCACCCTACCTCCTCCTAACAGCATCTGGCTGTGTGGAATAGTAATGCCCTGTTCACAAAGAAATCTTTTTTTTGGATGGAGTCTTTTCAGTGAAATGGAGTAATGATTCAGCTGACTGAACTGATTCATTTGAAAGGGTTCAGTGCTGCATCATAAGCACAGCAGCTCTGGTAATATGATCGTAGAGTGGTGGGCATACCCTCTAAGGAGTCTTTAGAGACAGCATTCCACCGCATGGGTGTATCACGGCCCTGGACCTGTAAAGCATTCTGCGGCTATCTACCACAGTACACTCGGGGGGAACTTATCAAAACTGGAACAGACAAAAACTGGAGCAGCTGTGCATTCCAACCAATCAGCTTCTCTCTTCAGTTTGTTCAGTCAAGATTTGAAAATGAAAGAGGCTGATTGGTTGCCATGCACAGCTGCTCCAGATTTTGTCGGCTGCAGTTTTGATAAATTCTCTTCAGTGTCCGGAAAGAGCCGAAGCAGATATCAGTGCCCAGATCCAAGACAGCTATTGACTACATGCAGAGCACAAGCAAACAGAAATAGGGTTGCGAAAAAGGACAATTTACAAAACAAAATGTAACCAAGACTGGGATTCACTTTGCAAAATGTAGGTCGCAATTGCTAGGTCAACCCAAAACTCAGTTTTTACTGGACTTTTCTTATTTAAATCACCAACTTGCTTTTTGCATCTTAGAGATACTAGCAGCAAAATCTTTTTGTATCAATGCCCTATCGTCTTTGACGACATCATACTCTGCTGAATTCCTTTTATTTTTTATGATCATGATTCAGTGAGAAGAAAGTGACACTATCAATGTGAAATGACTGTTGGAAAGAACTATGAATTCCAAGGGAATCTCTCAGGAGTCCATGAAAAATATAAGAAGATATGGTTCAGCATTTCCACAAACATGCAAAGCTTGAAAAACACATTTCATTTTGGCATTTCTGCAATACCACAAAACTGGATTATCACATTTATAGAGGAGCTGGTTTGAAAAATAAGGTAGCAGTGTTTTACCAATTATTAAAACTATCATCATATATTGATGCACTTACCTGTTTTGGTAACTGTAATAAGTAGCATCACGTGGAATTGTGCATAACTGTTTCCCATAGCAGCATAAAGTTTGTGGAGAAAATTCAAGCTGTGAAGGTAAAGAAAAACGCACTTAACCATGATGCATCATTTTGTAATATTGTTCTGCTGCTTTCGTATAGGTTAGAGGCAAGCAAACTGAAATTTGACTATAAAACTATTTAGACCTCCCTGTCAAAAAAAAAAACAACAACTTTTGTTTCACCAGAAATTATATTTTTGTCAATGGCAGAAACCACCAAGATGGCAAATCTTAATGTTTCCAGGTTATGGAAACTGGTGGGGTTGGGGGTGTGTTTGGGTGTGTTAAAGCAGCTTACAAGATAATTAGAGCACAGAAAAGACATTAGTGTGGTCACACCTTTTAAAAGTTTAGGGAATCCATTCATAAAGCAGTGGTATGGTCCTTAACATGGCGATATCACTGCTTAAATAAAAGACTAGCACAGATTTATAAAGAACAGCAGTGTGCTTTACAAATGTGCATTGCACTTTACGGACTTCAGAAATCCAAAACTTCCTGCAGATTGTTTTTAGCCCTCAGATGCTTTAAATTATATTTCACGCAATTACTTTATTCCACTACACACATTTGTGCAGTTATTTCGACTAAAAAAAAGCCAAATAGATATAAGTTGCATTGATTGTTTAATTGGGCTTTGCACTATTAACGCACTTTACCGTGCAATCGCACCTACTGTGCATTCTGGTGTGGGAGGTGTGTTGCGTTGCCATTCAAATGCACCTCCCACCCAGAGTTCGTACATCCGCACCGGAACACGTGGTACCCTAGTGCTGTGCGTTCCATTACAGTGCGACCTGGACTTAATGACCAAGGACAAATGTGGGTCCTGAGGTTACACAGGTTGAGAACCACTGGTTTAGACCAACTCCTTACAAGCTCAAAACAATTGTTTATGTTGGCTCTGTAATATAGGAGTTGGCGGAGAAGGGTTCCTTTCTCAAAAACTCTATTCCTGTCTACAGGGATCTTAGATATGTAGCAGTCAGAAAACAGAATTATAGATGCGTTAGGGGGCCAAAAAAGATGTAAAGGATCAAACATGGTAGTGGATTTACTTTTTTAGAGTCACCTGCTGCTGTACTTACACTGTTATAGCAAAGTAGACATAAATGTAGTCTATGTATAATTGTTTTCTTCTTTCAAATAATTTCAATATTCTAAAACAAAAATCTAAATATGATCATATACTCTATTAAACTGGATTTAAAATGGACAGAAAAAAAAACAGACTAACTCACTTTTCTGCCACAACAGTATCCCAAACTCTGCATAACTGGGTCAATTTGCTGTTCAAATACTTCAGCCAGTTTTGAGCAGTACTTGTATACACGAGATGTTTTTCGATTGTACAACCAGGCATTGTTGAACATCAGCCAAATGTCCTCCACATACTGCCATGGCTCCTGGTACTGCCCTGTGTCCAGTTTGCGTTTAATAGTTGACAGATCCATAGGAGTTTTGACTATCTCAAAGTAATCCTGCAAGAAAGGCAACATTCTAAATTATAAGAACTACTTATATACAGTCTGTTGGGACAAAACAATTACAAAAGTAAAAATCACAAAATTCTCTCTCTATACACACATACATCACACACACACACGAAATTGCTATAAAAAAGGAGCTGCTTTACCTGCCAACAGGGTTTGTATTTCTGTTGATCCAGTCTTGAGAATTACACAGCTTTGTCACACTGCAAAGCCCTACTTGGCAAGGCAGAGAACCTGATTTTTTTCTCTACTGCAGTTTAACAACACTTACAGCCCGTGAATGGACAGTGAAAGGAAAACTGCACATCGCAAAGTTCATCTCCTCACCACTCAACTCTCTCCTCCCATCAGCATGTACCCTTTTAGCACATAACATTGCAGCATAACTGACTACCTCCTTTTGCGGCTTCTACAAACAGATATTTATAGATAATTGCAGGCTTTTTATTTCACTGCATACCCTAATTTTCCTTTTCTCGCCATTTTTCGCATGGTGGCCATTCTCACTAATGGCAGATGTATCAATCTCCCTTTACTTCCTGGAACTCTGGCACATGTGACTGGAACATGCGACAGTGCACAACATCTCAGGAGAATTAAAAAAATAAAAATAAAAAGCCTTTCCATAAAATCTTGCAAGATTTTGCAGTTTTCCCAGCAATGCACAGTGATGTAACCAGCCTGGAATACATCACTAATGCGTAAGAGGACCAGGAAGTGGAAAAACAGGAATCGTAAGCAAAAGCAAAATATGTTTGACTAATGAATGTAAGATGATTGCATAGCAGCATTCAGAGCTGAATGCCGATATGAGGTTTAGTAAAAGGGGGGTAAAGGCCACTATAAGTTTAATGTTTATGTAAACACAACACGAAAAATGGAGTTTAGGGGCTAGTGTCAACAGGCTTTTTTTCACTTCAGAACTACTCGTCTCCCTCTACAAGTCTATGAATTTGCAAAAGCAGTTGAAGCAGATCTAATGCAGATCAACTGCATCTGCAATGAATTCAGAAGTGTCTCAAACCGAAAGCAAAAGAATGCTTAATAAATAAGGCTATAACAAAAATTGCACTAGTAACCATTATTTGCAATGGAGGGGTTTCCCTATAGGTATATGGCTACTGCTTCTCTGACACATCCCACACTATACACTTACATTTGGTGATAGGTTTCATTTAGAAAATTAATTAGAAGAGGGAAAAAAAACAAAAAAACACAAGCTAGTCACTTACCGGGATTCCCAATATTTGAGGATCTACAGGTTGACGAAATGGAAGAGATTCTGGATCTTGGCGGTATAATACCTCTAGTGTAGGCATGAGAGCTTGGCGTAGCTCCTCAGGTTTGAAAACTTGTTCCCCAAAAAAGAAATGAATATTAACAAGTTACAACTACAAAACATCTACATGGAAATGCAAAGAATACCATCAGTAAGATGAAATTGTACTTGTAGACAGATTTCCTTCCTCACATTGCTACTGATCCATGACTCTTATGGTCAGGCTCACCAACCAATAGCAAGGCAAAGAAGGCAGAAACAAAACAGGAGAAAAGTTGTCAACTACAGGTGCAGGTTAGAATTGAACAGAGCACCCTGGGTGCTCAGTAAAAACATTGTCTCGATATAGGAGGATGTACTTGCAATGGCATGCAGATATTACTTTAGTAATGTTACGTGGACAACATATTTTCTTGAAGGCCAAGTTAACTTTTCTGACCATGTTTCATGTTACACCCATATTCAGGGTGTAAATGAAACATGGTCCCATCGCAACCCCAGCTCCTCCAACCAATTGTGTATGTGCATTTGCCTTTATGACTGGCAGAAACAAACTGTAAGCTACTTTGGAACTAGGCACTTATGTTCCCTAGAATGCTTGGTATACCCAAGTAGGAACTAGTCCAGCCATTTCAGATAGTAGATGAGACTAAAAAAACAAAGAAGCACCACGCTGGCCCGTAGGGAGTCAAGTGGGAGGTGTCTCCAAACCGCAGGACCTGGCAGTGCATTTGTAGACATCCATTATGCACCAGTGTTATTGCGAACCTATATATTGCTAGCTGTATCTCGAACAAGGCCCAATCAACACTGTGTGGAGAGATGTGTCAACCACAGTATTTACAACAAGCATTCAAAATAATTATTTTCATTAGGTCATTTGCATGATATAGTTCCAAATTGGTGGATTCACCAGAACTTGCACTTTAAAAGCAGTTTATGACAATTCCAAATTCATGGGAGAAAATCAGATGTTGGTGGTATCAGAATCACTGTTGTATAGTTTCAACCTTATAATGGGGCAAAGGGGATTCTTTTAAATGAGTGAGGGAGGATGTTCACTCCTTGCAAGCAAACAATGCCCTGGACCATAGGCTTCCTAAACAGGAGAGTCTCCAGTCTGATACTTAATACCATATTTACAAAGATGTAAATAAAACAAATAACTTGAGATTTTAAAATGTGTGATATTATATATTAGTAAAGCTTTCTGTAACAAAGGAAATATCTAAAATAAGGGGCTTACTCTTCACTTTAGGTTCCCCTGAAGGGGAAGACTGTGGTACAGGTGTGCCTGGTTTTTCTTGCTCCTCTTTCACATCTGAAGTTCCACTGCTTTTCTCTGCACAATCCATTGATTCGGGCTTGCAGTCAACAATCTCATTTTTAACCTGTTACATAAAGGAGATATTATTTACCGCACAGTATGGCTACCATCAAACTTTGAGTTCAGCTCCAGATTTTAAAATATAAAGTATGACAACAAGTTGCATAGCCTAAGATTGTAAACTGAAAGCCAGATGTCTGATTAAACCCCGGTGACTTTCAGTTTTTTCACAGCTGCTGGACACTCAGAACTGTGTCTAAACAGATACTATACAATTATTTATGTATTCAAAATAATGGCATAGAGCATTACATTTTACAATTGCATAACAAAACAAAAAAATCTGACGAAAGTAGCTAAATTTTCCCTCTTGCTGTATCCACTGTAATATCATTTTTTTGGCAATTGCACATACCTCTACGCCATTTAAAAAAAAAACAATCTAGTGTCTAGCCACAAATAACTAAACAGGGTTCCCTTTAAAAAATGTAAAGGTAGAATTTCATCGACAATTACATTTCCAAATAAAATTGTGTGAAACTGGAACTATTTTGACCAAACTTCAGACAGATCTTAGCAGGCTATCATAACCTAAGAAACTTGAACTTTTAGGGCAAAGCAGCACACTATAGATCATAAAATGTTCAAAATGCAAGATCTCTGCTATAGCTATTGTAAGACAACCAAGTCACTATCAAAAATATTAAAATCCGTGTCTAGCTGCTCCCATGAAAAAACATGTATGATTGAGTTATACCAGAGCTGTAGCTAGCTCATTTTGCGCCCGAGGCAAGAACAAAAAAAGTGCACCCCCCCCCCCCAACAGGCATGTGACATTATGCACGTGCAGCATCATGTGATGTCATGCGCCCCTGCCTCCAGGATGTTTTTTTTTATTTTTCGTGATTTTTTTTTTTTTACTGTTGGGGGACGTCTGGGAAATATTAGGGGTTTAAACAGACCCCTGATATTTCACTTTTAAAATGGAAAAATAAATTGAGGACACAGAGTCCTCAGTCTCTTTTTCTGCAGCCTCTGTTCTAAATGAATGGAAAGCATCCCATTCAATCACAAAATATTTACTATCATCCAGTTTCTGAATGGGGAGAATACTCTGTACAGAGTGGTACTACCCATTCAGAAATTCATGAATGAACAGGAAGTGATGTAAAGCACATCCTGTTCATTCATAACTGGGGACACATAGTACTATGTGTCCCGAGTTATTTACAAACACTGGAGTAATCAGCTTTTCCTCTGGATCGGGATGCTCTCCCCATCTTTATGCAGCGGAGATCCGGGGAGAGGAGAAGTGAAGCACTTCAGCCAGCGGGTGGGTGGGGGATGGTGAGGAGGGAGCCGCTGTCACAGCAGCATGGCCGAGCGGTGAGAAGAGAGAGCCGCCGGCTATCAGTTTCAAGGGACCAAGTGCACATATTCTGAAGCCCAAAAAATTGGCATTGCTGTGAAGGAAGGTACAGCCAGGACGGAGCCCCTGTCCCATCTCTAAACTGCCCATTTACTTATTATTTATTTTTAATGAACAATCAGCGCAGCTAGGCTGTGTGAGAGCTGCTTGCTGCTAACATACAGGGCACCAGCAGCTCTATAATACAGCCCTGTAGAGAGGATGGTTAATTCATAGTAAAAGATCACTTTACTACTATGAATGAATAATCAGTGCTGCCGGCCTGTGTTATACACGGTGCTGGCTCCAACAACGCTTATTGTTCTTTTATAAAAGATCACTCAGCAATGCTGGGATATGTGATCTGAGGGGCTGTGTATGTTTACAATCAGCTGCAGATAGATACCCAGCTCTGTAGTGCCAAGTGATTTGTTGTGAACGGCAGTTCTGGTTTCCAGAGTGGTTCCTGCTGCCAGAGACTAGCGCTGTAACTCAGAATTCTGTCTCCTAGTTAGCAGTGTGGTCAGACAGCAGTGGGTAAACTGTCCGACTACACTGCTTAGGATGGATTTGAATGGGCCCATGTACTATAGATACTTGTTCCCCTATTAGATTTAAAAAAATACAATTTTGGGAGACCTTTTCTTTAAAGGGATCTGCTTGAATAGCTTCTAGATGTCCTCTGGTGGCCTTAGTACAATCAGTTCGGGTTTGGTAGACTGGTGTAGCTGCCAGGGCAGGTTGCAAGGCAGTGCCTACCAGAGAGAACATGGTTTTGGAAAGGGCCTCCAATGGCTTAAAGGAGAACTATGAGATGAGCGATTTCCACTCACCTCATAGTTCTAGCCGACCTGTGACAATGAGACTGTCACAGGTCGGCTCAGTAGATCGGAAGGTGAGCGAACACATACCAGGTTCACTCACCTCTTGATCCTGTCACGGCTCTCTGCCGTGACAGGGGGAGGGGCTGGATTCCCCTCTCCCCGCTCCGATCTGCCAGCGCTGACTGGCGGATAGGAACGGGGGAGGGGGCGGGTTCAGCGTCTAGATAGGCAGAGCCAGCTGTCACTCAAGCAGCTGGGCGGATCCCGTCATCTACGTCGGGATCCGCTGCGGCGTCTCAGTATACCGCGAGCTGTAGCTCGCGGTATACTGAGCTTAGGGTAACGGGAGGACGCTAGTTTGTGTCCTCCCGTTACCCTAAGGAGAACTATGGGGAAAAACACTGACCCCATAGTTCTCCTTTAATAGCGGGGTCCTTAGAAACAAGCGCATCCTCTATAGGGAGGGTTAAAGCACAGAGGGAACAGCTCACTTCCTCTTCAAATGGATACAAGACTGACAGTCCCTTGAGAGGGGTGAACACCCTGTCAGGGTTATTGTAGTCTCTGTAAAAGGACAATAGAAAACAACAACAGGTGAAAACAACAGTCTTGGTGACCTTAAACCAGGCTAGGCTGGGAACTGCACTGGTATGAGCAGCAAGCCGATTCGCAAGATTGAAAGTGGTACAAACCACAAGAAGAGCTGATATGGTCACTAAGTTTGGGAGTAATGGCAGTGGCCTGCGACTCCTCAGATGCAGCATCTATTTAGGATTTGGAAGACTAAGTGTCTGAGGATGAAGTATGCTCATGGCTTATGTAGGTCAGAGTCAGCAATCAAAGTTGCAATTTGGCCCATAAAATCTTTTACGACTGTGGTAAAATCCTCCCGTATAGAGACCTGAGAAGGGGGCCATATCTGCTGCTAAGCAAGACTGAGGATGGCATTGACGTAAATGGTTTTTAAAATCTGAACATTTGTGGGGCGGGCGCAAAAGATCTTGGGCCGGCGCATGCGCAGTTCAGATGTTCGGCCGGGAGACGAGGAGAGACACAAGATAAGTATATAGAGCAGCGTGCACCCGCGCAGACTCCGAGGGACATGAAAGATGGAGGACAGAGGATCAGAGACCTGCACCAGCGCTGGAGGGAAGTCTGAAAATTACACTAGATGATTGGATTAAGAGGCATGATTTAAGGTAAGTCCCTACACTAACATTGGGGGGAGGGAAAAAAATTAGCCTTTACGGTCACTTTAAGCAGAGGGTAAAATTCCAGACTGTCTCTCTTCCTCATGAGAGAATAGGAGGGTCCTTCTTCAAGCGTCCATGTCACCGCATGGGTGACATGAAAACTTCTCAATGCAGCGCATAAAAAGTCACAGACTCGAAGTGAAGCAGTGGGTTGAACTGATAAACAGGGGAGAAGTCAGCGCAGGTACAGAGTGCAGCTCTGGATAACCTGCCTCCACCCCTGTTAGGCACCAGCACTATGATGGCAGACTAAACTGAGGCTGGGGGAATAGGAAGTTTAAAGTGGAACTAAGTCCAGCAATAAAAAAAATGGTTAAGACTTAGAGAATGCCATACAAAGACCCACCGTTCTAAAACAGGATTCTTATACTCTATGTAAAACTCTTTTCTTGGAAGTCCATTGACGGACACAGAAGGTTTTGTACATTCATACTGCCACCTATAGGGGGATTAAGCACTGGCACACAAGCATTTCTCAGCTTTGTAGCAAAGCAATACCGAAAGAAAAATGATAAAACACAGAGGGGTGAAACCAATGTTCCTCAATTAACTCCAAGAAAAGGATTATGCGGAGTACAAATTCAAAAATATAATATTTTTGTTTCTACTGTAAATTTGAATCTTCCTCACGTCTATACACAGTGTATAGACATGATAATTTATGGGACCTTAGACTGCTGCAGAGGAGGGGGAGAGAGGCTCTAGGGACCGGTCTGCGGCCTCCAAGTTACTGTCAAGGAAACGCCAATCTGGACAACCGCTGTATAGAAATCAGCTCAAGCAGTATGTTGTGCATTGTGCTCAAGCAGTGTAATGCAAGAGTGCGATATAATGTGCAACTATTTTATGCGTAATTACACATTATAGCAAAAGCCCAGGCCCCACGCAGGCGATTTTAGTTCCACTTTAAGACCTTGTTCAGATGGGCTTTAGCTTCTAAAAGAGCAGTGTGTAAATCTGGATTTTGCAAAGCTTTCGGCAAGCATTGAGCAAATTGTAGAAGTCTTTAAAGAAATCCTCAGTTCAAGTGTGAGAATGTTACACACAGATCTTACTGGGCGTGACAGTCAGCAGTCCTATTACAGATCGGTATTAACCGCTTAGTGACACAGCTTCAGAAAATGTTTTAGCTTCTGGGGACCAGAGCAATTTTGCCTCTTTTGCTATATGTTGGACCATAATTTCCATCTTTCTCATGCATACACATGTTGTATACCTTTTTTAAGAACAAAACTGGCTTTCATTTGATGTGACATATCGATATATAGATTTTTTAAAAAAAAAAAAAAAAACCCAACATATTTTTTACAGCTTTGGCAATAATAAAGTGTACATAATTAGTGTAGCGGAAAGTAATTAATAATTGATTTTTATATTTGTCCGGATTTATAGGGTATATCATATGTCTGGGATTTCAGCTTATTTTAGAAGTTATAGGTCACAAAATACATGGAGTGAAATACAATTTTAGTGTGCAACAATTTTCGAATGTGGTATGTTTTTCTACTATCTTTAATAGCCTCTTCTGCACTATATTTTCTTACAATTTTTTTAATAAACACATAAAATTAATATATATTTTTCCATTTTATTTTTTTTAAACTAGGTGGCTCTAAGGGTTTTTTTAATTATTATTATTTATAGGGGTTTGATACTTAGAATACAGTATTCTCCTCAGAGATACTTTGTATCACTTTTGTAACACACAGCCGGCTAGCAGTTTACAGAACACAGTGAACTGCTGCCGTCTCTGTGACTGTCACGGCTCTGCGATCACAGTGATCACATTGCTGTTGAGGGTTAACGATCATGACTGAATAATCCCGTCATCAGTCGGGAACTGGTTAAACATCCCCAAACTGGAGCTAAATTTTATTTAAAAGGCTTTGTTTGCCTGGGGATGGGCTTTACACTTGGGCAAAACATTTCCTTGCACTTTTACAGCAGCATTATCCTTTTACATAAAGTATGGTGAGCATGGTCTAGGCTACATGCTCTAGAATAGGTGTGCTTTTAACTGCACATAAATGAAAGCATAAAGTGAAGTGTCCACTTTCCATACTATTGCAATACCTTACCTCTGACTTCACCTCAGAAGGTGCTTCTACAGTTCCTGGTTCTACTTCTTCCTGTTTAATCTCCATATTTATATCTTGCACGGGATGCTCAGGGGCATTCTGCTGTGAACCGTTATCAGGGCTATGAGCCGTTGATGGGCTGGAACCAGAACATTCCAAAACAGGTGTAGACTCTGAAAGCTGTCAGACAGAAATACAGTTATTTAATAGATAAGAAATTACAGACTTACCATATATGCATGCAAGAAAGTTCTTATTGCCATAGTTGGGGCTGACACATTAGAAGCTCAATTTTTTTATGGAAACTATGAAATCTAGACATCATGACAACATTCACCTGACTTTTCTTTTTGAATACCATGATTTACATGACCATGCCGGTCATGGTCTAAAGACATGCTGGTAGGTTAATTGGCTCCTCTCTAAGTTGGCCCTGTATGTATGTCAGATAGGGACCTTAGATTGTAAGCTCCTTGAGGGTAGGGACTGATGTGAATGTGCAACTATGTAAAGTGCCGCGTAAATTGTCGGCGCTATATAAATACCTGTAATAAATAAATAAAATGCTGCCATCATCACTCATCAGATCAGCGCTGCACTAATAACAGACAATAATGTTGCAATTCAGGCAGTTAAACCAATTAGGGCTAGTTCACACGATTGGGGCCGGAACACACTGGATCGCATTGTGGCCAGCTCACTTTTGGTTGGGGCGGGAGGGGGTGTGGCGGTGCATTGAACTCAATGGCAACGCAGCCACGCCCTCTGGCCGCAGGGGTACGCGTGGCATATCAATGGCTGTGTTCTGGTCAGAAAAAAAATGCTGCTAGCCCTTAATGCAAGTACATTTTAAATAAAAAAATTATATTAAAAAGAATTATATATATAGTATTTTAACCACCTCAGGACAGGGTAGTTTTTCAATTTCTCACATACACATTCAAATCTAAAGAAGTTTTGGATAGAAAATAACTTTCATCCCCCCCAAAACATATATTTAATTATGTTTTATTCTACAGGGCATGTGCTTTAATATAAGATTTTGTTCTTACCATAAAATCTTTTTCTCAGAGTCCATTGAGGGACACAGCTCTAAAGAATTCTGATATGTAGGGTTATTTTGTTGCCTCAAGGAGAAATCAACACTAGGCAAACAAATTAAAAGCCTGTCACTTTAAGGATATAACCTCTCCCACCTCACACTTGCCAGATGTAGAAAGCAGTACAAAGGAACTTGAGGGGAGGGAGCTGTGTCCCTCAATGGACTCAGAGAAAAGGATTTTCCGGTAAAAACAAAATCCTATTTTCTCTATCGTTCACCGAGGGAGACAGCTCTGAAGAATTCTGAGAGGTAGGGACATTCAAAATCAGTCCAAACAGAGGGGCAGGCACCACAGCAATTAAAGCACTAGCTCAACAAAAAATGAGATGCCAAAACTAGCATCAGAAGAGACAAAAACATCAATTTGATAAAACTTTGCAAAAATGTGAACAGAAGACCACGTTGAGACCATGCGATTTTGAGTAATAGAAGCTTGATTTTGAGATGCTCAAAAAGTACTAAATGCCCTAGTAGGATGAGCAGAGACAGGAAAAGGTGGTGCCCTGTCCCACAACTCATAAGCTTGAATGACAAGCGACGAATCCACTAAGAAATAGTGGCTCTAATAGCGGAACAACCTTTTCTAAGCCTTTCTGGAAGAATAAAAAGTCCAAACGTCAAAAGGAATCTGTGGCTGAGAGATAAACACCAATAGCCCACACAGCATCCAAAATGATAAAGAGAACATTTCCTTACGATAAACAGGAGCAGGACAAAGTCAAGGTAAAACAATGTCTTCTTTAAATGAAAAGCTGGGACTACCTTTGGTAAAAAGGAAACCTGCAGTTTCAAAACAATCTTGTCCCTATGAAGAACCAAACAGGGTTCTTTACAAGACAAAGCAGACAACTCTAAAACCCTTCTAGCCGAAGTAATGGCCACTAGTAAAGCAACCTTTCTGGATAACAAAGAGATGTCTCAGATACGTTCAATATAGGATATTATTCTCGATGTTCAGAATCCAGCCAAATTCCTCTAAATTTACCCAGCAGAAGGAGACTGTTCTCGAAGTAAAAGGTAATATAAGTAGCCAATAATCGATTTGCCCTTGTGAAAAGAAATCCCAGAACTAGAGCAAGAACCTTTGTAAAAGCCCTTGCCGCTGAAGCCAACTCGAAGGGTAGAGTTTCAAATTGATAATGAAGATCGCCCATCACACAATGAAGGAAACGCTAAAAGGCTGGAAATGCAGGAATGTGTAAATACAAATCCTTTATATGTCTATAGAATCCAAACAAACAATCTCCTTGCCTATGAGTAGACAACTGACCAAATGGATTCCATCCAAAACTTGTGAATATGTGCAAACGAATTGAGTGCTTTTAATCAAGAATCGGACAAAGTCTTCCTTTGGGTTGGGGAACCGGAAACAGGTTGAATAAAAAAAAAAAAACCCACAAAAAAAACCTTGAAAATGTTCTGACAAAGCAACAGGAACAACAAACAGATCCAACAGACCTTGAACTGCACAAAAAAAGGTTTGTCTGATGATGCCAAGACATGGGAAGCCAGAACGCAAAGAGCCGAGGTTCAGATACCTGGAGGAGACCAATCATCATTGTAGGCTGGTAGCAGGAATGAATCAAAGATTAAAGTTCCACGTGGCTCTTAACCCCTTCGTGACTGACGACGTACAGTGTACGTCGCCAGCATCGGGGCTGTTTAAACAGACTCCCGGCGACTTTTGCCTGGAGAAGCAACGGGAAAAGAGAAAGTTCAAGTACAGGAGAATCTACACTGAAGAAAAAAAAATTGAAATAGGAAAAAAGGTGCTAAAAAAAAAAAATTGCCACAGCGAAACTGTAGGAGACATCAATACTCCTAGGACACTTGCAAAAAAAAAAACCTGAGACACACTGGTAGTGGAAGGGGTTATGCTGGGCTGTCCTATAGAGTTTTGCTTGTCAATGCCCAATCCTGCTGTAGGCAGTAGTATCAAAGGTTTAAAATACCTTGTGTCCCTCAATGGAGAAAAAAAAAAAAAAAAATACATTTTTGGCTAAAGAAACATATTAAATAAAAATGCCAGGACAGAACTTAAAATTACTGCTTTTTGGAAAGTAGACACCACAAGTTCATCTCATTTTTTTTTTTGCCACAATGTTTTGAAAATGAAGAAACATGCTAGCACTGAGGTGGTTAAAAGATGGATCTTAAAGATGGTGCACAAGATGCAGTGCATCATTAATGTATAGGTCATCAACAGAGACGGAGGGGAGGTCAATGTGTAGGATAAGGAAGATAAAGGTGTTCATATACAAGCCACAGATAGACAGGATGGGAGATGAGTTGTACAGTAAAGGAGGTGGTATGGAAAAAAAGAAACACAAAAAAAAGCAGTTTCACAAACAATTAAATCCATTACCATGAATCTGATGCTGCCTATGATCCCTTCATTGATAAATCTTCACTTCCTCTGCTGTGTAGAGCGGTTTATATGTGATCACTATAAATAGTCAACACTTGTATCTGGACTTTAATATCACAGCATGGTGCTTCAATTCTAGATTTACTATCACAACCCAAGGTGACCATAGAAATCCATTAGTGTTTAGAAGCCACTAGGCCAAAATTTAGATACCCTATGCCAACCCATACCAAAAAAAAAGGTATTTTTGGTCTCAGTGCCACCTAACCACTTTCCAAAACAGTGCAGAATAAGACATGGTAACGTTAGTAATGAATACCAGTCTTATGGTTCAGAACAAGCATGAAAAAGATAACAGATTGAATTAGATAGATCATTGCATTAGATATGTAAACGAAAAAAGCAGAAAAGACTTACCACAGGACTTGAGTGAAGGTGTGTTGGTGGCGGAGGTGGTGCAGTAGGAGTGGAGACAGGTGTCGACAAACTTGGCTGTGATGGGGGCCGAGATGATGGTGCCTGTGTTAACTGCTGAGGTGACGTAGTAAACGGCTGCTCAACACTTGGCATACCAGATGTAGTGCCTGCTAATGACGGTGTCACCTGTGGTGAAGAAGGGCTCCCACTTTGCGGTATTTGCACCAAGGGTGCAGCAGTTGACACATGTTCAGTAGGTATCATTGCATGAGATGCAGCCAACCCCGGAGATGTAAGTTTGGGGGTTGGTGTACGGCTTGGAGCTGGGGATGGTAAATTATGATGGACTGATGCCTGCACATGACTTTCAAGTGGATTCCCAACTGACTCTTGAGGTATTGCAGGAGAATGCACAGGATTAGGAGAATGTGTCATCTGGCCCTACAATACATACATATGAAAACTTATTTATTGAATAAAAAAAACAAAAAACTGTTACAACTACGAAAATATCTAACCAGTCTCACCTGTGAAGGGGAATTTTGACTCGCAGACTGGGACATAGGCATACCAGAAGAGTTCAGACCCACAGTGTTCAACACAGAAGGTGAAACCGGGAATTGATTTGGGGACATGAAACGATTCTGTGCAACCTGAGGCACGCATGGTGACTGAGGAAATCCCAGCTAAAAAAAAAAAAATCAGAAATTACAACCATGAACTTTGTCTAGTTCAACTTTTTTCTAGTTGTAAACAAGTGCTGCCAACAACTGTTTTCTTTGTATCGCTTTTTTACGTAAGGTGATTGATTTAAATACGTTTCCAATAGCATGACAGTATACTAAAAAGGGACACCAAAATTTCATAAAGGAATGGCTCGCCTTTAAAGCATGAGTAAACTCGCCTTCCCTGACCGCTGCCAACATTTTCACCTGGTCGCTTTCCAAGTGCAGGATCTCCATCCATCTTCACTGGCTGGGTCGGAATAATGCAACTCTCATGCATGTGCACAGGAGATCATTAATTCCAGGACCAAGGTATGCTGAGAATGTATAATGAACTACGCATGCACAGCTCACTGTACATCCTAAAGAAGATTGCAAACAGGCTGGTAGGTTAGTTTTATTTCAGAAAAGACATAGGAACTCTTATCTGCAATAACAAGCATGCTCACATTCTTTAAATGTATTGAACTTCTGCTGTAAGCGTTTTTTTTTTCCATTTTTCAACACTACAGTGGCTTGCAAAAGTTTAGATTTTTGCCCATTCTCAAAGGCAAAATTGCTCCAGCTCCTTTAATTTGGATGGGTTTCGCTGGTGGAGAGCAATTGTTAAATCATGACAGATTCTCATTTGGATTGAGGTCTGGGCTTTGACTAGGCCATTCAAAAACATTTAAAATGTTTTCCCTTAAGCGACTCAAGTGTTGCTTTAGCAGTATGCTTAGGGTCATTGTCCTGCCGATGAAAAACATCCCCACAGCATGATGCTGCCACCACCATGCTTCACTGTGGGGATGGTGTTCTTGGAGTGATGAGGGGTCTTGAGTTTGTGCCAGACAGGGTTTTCCTTGAAAGCCAAAAAGCTCAATTTTAGTCTCATCTGACCAGGAGTATCTTCTTTCATTTGTTTGGGGAGTCTCCCACATGCCTTCTGGCGAACAGAAATAGTGTTGATTTTTCTGTATGCAACAGCTTTTTTTTTTCTGGCCACTCTTCCATGAAGGACCTCTCTGCAGAGTGTACTGCTTAAAGTGGTCCTATGGACAAATATTCTAATCTCTGCTGTGGAGCTTTGCAGCTCCCTCTGGGTTGTCTTTGGTCTCTTTGTTGCCTCTCTGATTAATGCCCTCCTTGCCTGGTCCGTGAGTTTTGGTGGGCGGCCCTGTCTTGGCAGATTTGTTGTGGTGCCATATTCCTCACATTTTTTAATAATAGATTTAATGGTGTTGCTTGAAATGTTTTAACAGTTTGATCATTTTTTTTTCTAATCCAGCCGGATCTGTACTTCTCCACAACTTTGTCCCTGATCTGTTTTGAGAGCTCCTTAGTCTTCATGGTGCCGCTTGCTTGGTGGTGCCCCTTGCTCAGTGGTGTTGCAGACTCTGGGGCCTTTCAGAACAGGTGTATATATACGGAGATCAAGTGACACTTACATTGCACACAGGTGGTCTTTATTTAAATAAATATGCGACTTCTGAAGGTAATTGGTTGCACTGGATCTTATGTAGGGCTGCATAGCATAGAGGGAATGCATATGAATGCACCACTTTTCCGTTATTTTTTAAAGTTATTTTCCTGATTTTTACTTCACCATTATGGTCTATTTTGTGTATGTCCATTACATGTAATCCAAATAAAAATACCTTTTAATTCCAAGTGGTAATGCAACAAAATTTGAAAAAGGCAAGGGGGGGGGGAATACTTTAGCAAGCCACTGTACTTTCTCCCTTTCCACATCACAAACATGGCTGGTACCTGATCACTTCACTTGTTAACTAAAGTACTTCAGAAACACCACATGCATTATTTTGCATTTCGATTTTGACAATTTGATTAAAACAAATTGAAATATACATTTTTATTGTTTTATCTCTTAACTAACCGGATTCATGGGTGTAGACTGTCCCGTCTGCTGCGATATTGGTGTCTGCTGTCTTTGGATCATTGACTGCAACGGCATACCAGGCTGCCCAAACTGGTTCGTTCCTATATCCAAAAAGAAAACTGAGTGTTAATGTTACAATTTGTCATCATAACATCCCCACGAAACAGGAATTAAAAAAAAAAAAAACCCAATGATTCTACCTCAACCACAATTCATTTCACAGACTGCTAAGTAATGTCATGTTTTATGTTACAGGCATGAAAATGAATGCACCACCCACTACATGTTTCAGCCTAATGGTCCTTGCTAAACTAGAAGACCAACCCATAGACAGTGTTCCTGTTAAGTGGGACCATACTCAGGACTGGAAGTTCTGTTCAGAATATGTTAATCTCCACAGAAATTACTTCACCTGTACCTGCACCAGGGATTGGAGGAGAAACAGAGGGGAGGAGAAGCTCTCAGATGCCGGCGGCCAAAAGCAGCGCCGGACAGAATTTTTGTTAATAGCTGTCACAGCCGCTGATGACCACTATTATTTTACAGGGGACCATCTAGGGACCGTTCTGATACAAGATCATGGTCGCTAAAGCGAACACTAGCTTGTAGCGGAAGGCTTACTGAGGTGGCCAGCTGAAAGCGTTTGTGTTTACTGCCTCCGTTTGAAGAGTCATTTCTTCACAATGCCTATAGCTACAGAGCTGAAAAACATCTTGTTTTAGGGTGCTTTTACTGCTGGCTCAGAGTTTTAAAATACTTTATGTATAGTATGGGCACAGGTTCACTTTAACCTTTCACTACATTTGAAACCCTTTATATAGCCCTTACATTTATTGTTAAAGGAGAACTATGGGGTTAGGGCTTTCCCCCATAGTTCTAAGGGTAACGGGAGGACACAAACTAGCGTCCTCCCATCACCCAAAGCTCAGTATACCGCGAGCTACAGCTGAAACGGATCCCGACAATTATGTCTGGATCCACCCAGCTGCGTGAGTGACAGCTGGCTCTGCCTATCTAGAGGCAGAGCCAGCTGTACCCGCCCCCTCCCGTTCCGCCAGTCAGCGCTGGAGGATCGGACAGGGGAGGGGGAATCCAGTCCCTCCCCTGTCACGGCTCTCTGCAGTGACAGGATCGAGAAGTGAGCTCACTTCCCGATCTACTGAGCCGACCTGTGACAGTTTCATTGTCACAGGTTGGCTAGAACTATGAGGATGAGTGAAAAATCACTCATCTCATAGTTCTCCTTTAATGGTGTAAGATGGCCCTAGAATTAATGCGTTCAGTCGAGCATGCATGGTAATGCCCATTATGGGTGGCCCAATTTTTCTGTATAGGTCATATTTTAGATAAAGTAAAAAACATACATTTTTGTTTTACATCTAAAATCTTGGAGGATATCACAGGACACAGGAAGTTAATTATGGAAAAAATAGATTATGCAGCTACTGTGAGCCTGACAAAACAAAGCTGTAAGGACAGCCCTGTATAACCTTTCCCACTCCCAGCGTGCCTCAGTTTTGTAGCGAGCAATACAAGAGTGGATTACAGAAAACAAAGGGGAAGGTCCTGTAATGTACTCAAAGATTGTATATTGCAGGACATAGGAAGTTAATTCTGGAAGTAGTGGGATGTGTTGTAAAAAATAAGGGCAACATAGGGGTAAGCAACACAGCTTAACAATGGCTAGCAGGCTTAGGAAAGCAACTAACATTCTCAACAAGGAACAACAACAAAAGGGGGCTACAATTAAGAGGGGACTCTCTTTATTGTAGGCCCCTTTTGTTGCAGTTCCTGTTTGCAACCGAAGCGGTCATCTGCAGAGGCCTGAACATCCCCTTGGTAGAACTTGGCAAAAGTGTCAGCAGAGGACAGCCTTACAGATCTGGAATATCGAAGCCTGAAGCTGAAAGACCCAAGAAGCATTAATGCTTCTAGCACAGTGAGCCTTGGCCAGAAAGGGGGGTGGGGTGAAACTTTACCCTTTTACCCTTCAGCTTAGGGGCCTGAGTGACAGTAAGGCCTGGTTCACACCTGGGCATTTTACAGCGCGTTCCTACGCACTGTAAAACGCTCAACATGTGAAAACCAATGATTGCCTATGGGCATGGTTCCCACCTGGGCGTTTTACAGCGCGTAGGAACATGCTGCAAAACGCCCTACGCCCAAAGAAGTACAGGAGCTTCTTTGGGGCGTATTTGCTGCGCGTATCCATTAGGATACAGCCGGATAGCCCTCGGAAAAGCGCGTTTTTCGCGCGTTTCTTTTACTGCAAATCGCTGTAAAAACGTGCGGCACAAAACGCGGATATTTCGTATGCCTAGGTGTGAACCCAGCGTAAGAGGTTGATTTCCAAGCTTTCAGGAACATGAGGATGACCGTGTCCGAAAGGCCTATGTCCTCCAAGACCTGAGCTTCAATAGCCAGGCTGTTAAAGCCAGCAACCAAGAAGCAGGATGGAATACCAATCCTTGGGATAGAAGGTCTGGAATAACTCAAAAGTGCCCACCAGTGAATCTGCCAGGAGTTTGGCTACATGCATTGTCCGCAGCCTCCTGGATGAGCTGGAAGCAATAAGGATCATCAGATTGTTGGTCGGGAGTCCTCTGATGACCAGGTACCTTAAACCAAGAAGTTTTTCAGGACTCCTCCCCAGCCTGACAGATTTATGTCCATCGTGAGCACCTTTCAGACTATCAGGAGGAAGGATTCTCCTCAATATCAGCACTGAGCTGGAGATCCACTATGCCAGGGCAAGCCTGGTCTTGCTGGACAGGGGAATAGGAAGGACCAGGGACTGAACCTGTTTGTCCCAGAATATTAAGCTGCAATGGCCAGGAGTGAAACTGAGCATAAAAGGACTGCCTCAAAGGAGGCCGCCATTAAAGGGTCGATTCTGCTTTTCACAAAAACTGAAAAAATTAGCTTACTCACAGCATCCCCCCGCTGCACATATCTGTGTGATGCCCCTCCCTACCAAGTGTAGCGATCTGTACAAAACACTTCACAGCTCCACAGTCTATGCTGATCATAAAACTTTGTAAGTGGTGACTGCTCATTGGTCAGCAGTCACATGACTGCGCTGACCAATAAGACGACCATAAACCAGTCACATACCACTACTGCCTAAATACTCTCAGGATGCCTTATTCTAAATATTTTAGATTTAGTCAAATTAGTCATTTCCTACACACCCTACATATTCCCGAGGCTGGAGCCCCGCTGTGAACACAATATGAACGATGGAGCCTAGGAGGGTTGGGACAAAGTAGAGGAACATCCCTGATCTATGATGCACAACTAGGATCATTTACCAAAACAGATTATATGGTTGCTTGGGAGGCAGAAATAAGTACACCACTCCCCCTAGAAGATTAGCAGCAGTGCTCTAAAAGATCAACTAAGGGACTATTAAATGTCTTTCTCTTAGAAGCTAATTACAAGGTTTTCTCTCGATGGTACCTTGTACCAGCAAAATTGGCGAACATGGGCCTAGGCATTACTTAGTTATGTTTCAGGGGCTGTAAACAGAAAGGCACTATGTTACATGTCTGGTGGCTGTGTCCAGGGTTACGACCCCTCTGGAACAGGCTGTTTGCCCTGCTTTCGAGGATTCTCGGGGACCATATTCCCAGAAATCCACAGTATGTATTACTAAATAAATCAATCCCGGACATCTCCAGAACGCAGGGCAAACTTGCATCCTTTTTCTTCCTGGCGGCTAAGATATCAATAGCCCGGTCCTGGAAAGCTGAAAAGGTTCCATTCTCTCTAGAGCTATCTAAAGTAAACTGGATCATGATCCATGAGAAATTATATAGCATCTTGCAGGATAGCTACGCAGAATTTGAAGCAGTATGGGAGCCATGGCTGAAATACCAAGAGATTTCAAATGCACATAGCATCATTTCCGAAGCCCTAGCTTAAGCATATAGGGTCTGCTGCTCAGAACCCAGGAAACTATAATTTATGCCTTTATATAATATGTTGTTTTTTCTTCTTTCTCTCCCTTTTTTTTTTTTTCTCCTCTGTGTCTGTTCTTTTCCGTTTGTAATTTTCCTTTTTGTACATAAAAGTTTTTCCATAAGTGTCCATACAGTGAAAGTAGCTATATCCAGATTGTGAGGCCCCGCACCCTCAAAACTAGAATCGAGTGAATGGAAGGGTGAGCCCCTGGAGGTAAATGTGGGCAGGGGCCAAGTCAAAAGTCAAAGGTTAATAACATAACTGGTTTTCCCCTTGTCCTCTTCTGGTGATAGCTTTGATGGTCCATTGAAGGGTGGGGAGATGCGGGGAATCAAGGCCAACCGGAGAAATATTGAATTTTGTTTTTTTGTTTCTTTTTGACTATGTTAAAATCTGTTTTAAAACTTGCTTTATCTTATGGAAACCAATAAAAACTTTGAAATCCAAGAAGTGCTTCTGAGCCAGGGACCAAGTCCTGGAAGTAAGAAGCGCTCCTTTTTGGTCAGCGTGGTAATTTGACAGTACTGATAAATGAGTGGCCAATAAAAAGGGACAGGCTGGTAGTGGAAGGAGTAATACAGCGCTGCTCTAGCGGATTTGATTTGTCAATATACACTCACAAAAGGTAACACACTGGTTCCAGAAATAACTTTCTGTAATGTACAATCAATACATCTCCTTTAACAAAAAATATTGTGCCTGTGTTCTCATGTCTTAAAGAACCTATAAACAGATGAGGTATGAGGGTTTCCAAACGTGCACCTGATATCATGTAGCTGCTAGACAGTTAGTCCCAGAGCAATAGCCAGTAGTCTTTCACTGCCAGGGTGACACTGTTTACTGAACCACAAGCAGCAAAGTGGACACAGTAAAATAAAATAAAAAAATGTATAAAACATTAACATCTTAGCAGTTAAGTTCTTACCTGGTTGGCTTGACATGGTATTAATCATCTGGTTTGGAACAGCAGATCGCAGAAGGCTTGGATCAGGTACTGGACCGTCTGCACACAGTAAAGCAGTAGAAACCATTTACTAAAATAGGTTCTGTGTTTAAACTGCAGTCACAAATCAATGAAAACATATAAATAAAATATAGTGCACTGGAAAGCCAAAACAAAGTGATCACCCAACTGTTGCTCATCACTTCATGTACTGTAATTACAGTCCAAAAGGAGAAACCATACCACACCAATTAAGAGATTCCTTTGGTTCAGTCCTTTTGAGTTTTTTTTTCTTTTTTTAAGTCCCCATTATTTTAAGAAGCGCTGAAAGAAGAGTGTTTGCCCCAAAACACATTGGCTGATTTTCCTTTGCAATTGAATAATTAAAGACTCTATGGACTTTTTCACCTGTTTGTTCCAGTGTCCATTCAATATATGTTTACACTCTAAGCTTCTCCCATTACTCTACTAAAGGTGCCCATACACCTTACAATTATCTGCAGATTTTCTGTGGTCAGATGGAAAAGGTGGAGATTACTCCATCCACACAGTTAAGTGTAGATGGAGGAATCTGTTGCACCTTCTCCATCTGACCACAGAAAATCTGCAGATAATTGTAAGGTGTATGGCCAGCTTTAGGGAGGCCTGTTGTGCTGTCAGTGCTACCTTATCAGAGCCTGTGAGCTAGTTTGGAAAACCTGTGCACATTTGGATATTTTAATGAGCATTTAGATCCCAGTGCCTCTTAAATGTTTGGATCTGAAGTAGCCCCACCTTATTACTTCCACAGAATATAGAAGCATACAACTCCAACACTTCATCTCCAGAGATAAAATCCACATCCCCTTCTGTTACAAGACTTAATGCAGCTTTTGCAGTCAAAATGTTGAGTGAGGAAGACAGTAAATAAGAGTCTCATTGTTTATTGATAACTTTCTTGCAGTAAATTAATTCAAAGTGCTCAGTCCTAGATAATTACAAGTACAGGTCAGAGCAATACCAGATGTATGGTAAGATGGGGATCGGAGACACTGTACTCCCAATCTCAAGCACACTAGGGAGGCATCAAGTATTTAGTTAAACACCTATCCCCTTAAAGTAGACCCATCATAAGTTGTGTAAACTGCTGCCAAAGGTAAGTGAAAAAATACTTAATGTATGTAAGCCCCCACAATTTCTCACACTTGCTCCATTTTTTTTCTGTTAAGTATATACTATCGGAAGCATATTATTTTTGTTTTAGAAGTGCAAATAAATGAAAAAAACCTGATGATCCTGCCAGAAATCCCATTACTATATATGGACATGGACCATCCACTGCTCTCCATCCTATATTTCCTTACAGTCCCATAGGGGAGACCGATGAGTTCTAGCACTGAGGCAGCATTTTGTGGCCATCAGAATTAGGTTAATTTGCAGAAAGCCCATAGATTAATATCTAAACATGTTGGCAGTAGAGTCAAAGGGTTGAATTGTCAGTCTACCCAGTTTCTTGCAAATGGTACACTGTATTGGGTTTGCTTCAGAACTGCTTTTCTCATCATACAAGTCAGGGAAGCCAAAAGCAGTTTGAAGCAGGTGGATGCAGTTTGAATTAAGGTCAAAAGGAGGTCAACTGCAGGTGAAATGTACCTGACTGAAAAGCGTCTCAAAATGTAGGCTGCCTTGACGAGGCTGTGCGGCTTTCACATATTCTGCAGAAGACGTGTATCTAAACCTCTGTTTTTAACCTTAGTGGTGAGACAAGTTTTTTTTGCATGCTGGCTGGTGAGTGTGCTGGGAAAAACATTTTGCTGTCAAATGTAGGCTGAACGCACTTGAAAGGGTGCTGTTTTTGCCCATCGACACAAGCCTGAAAATGTATTCGTTAGATGCTGCAATCATTATGAGGGGGGTCCTCTTTCCATTGTTAACATATGAATATATGAGCAGCAACACATAAAAACTGCCAGGGGGACAGGAACAAAGCAGGAAATGGCAGGAAATTCCTGCCGTTGGAGTAAAAATTGACACCACTGCAGCGCAGAGGTATTGCTTGCTACTTTACAATTGGGGTGCCATATTAAATGAAGGCCACTTTCATAGACATCAAAAATAGACAAAGGAATTGGGGGAGGGTAGAGAGATAACCTACTTGTAGATACAACTGACTGTGTTGGGGGCACACCCAGGCCAAAGTTAACTGGTGTAGAAGTCATGCCTGGAGCACTAGGAACAAGGTGTTTCTGCATCCTATTGCGCCGCTTTTCCTCCAACTCCTTCTGTATTTTATAGATTTTCTCTGCAAGTAAATGGTAGTATTCCGCCTGCAAAGAACAAAAGCAATGGTTAGACAAGATGAAGCAAATAAAAGCAAAATCCTTATGTGACAAAATACATAAATATATGGGAGTTGCTTAATCTATCAAAGAATTTGAATTTCTATCCATCCAGTCGTGAGATTTACAGAGCTCTGTCACAAAGCCCCATCCTGCCAGGCAGATGGGGGACCGGATATTTCTCTCCTGCTGTTTCACTTTCACTCACAGGTCTCCTCCCCACCCTGTGACTGGACAGTAAAAGGAGAGGTAGCACACTGATGGGTTCATCTATCCTTCTGCTCTCTCACTTCTCTTGCACGAAGGAGGCCCATTGACATGTACATCTGATCAGGCACCAGTATAGCAACCTGGATCATCATGAAAACACACCATGCGTGAGCATGAATAAAGAAGACAACCCTAAGGTAGTGGGCTTCTTTTCAAACACTCACTGCCCTGCTGTAACCTGCAGTGAAAAGGTTAATCATGCCCATGACTTGATCAGTCACCATTTAGAAGTGGTTACTGATCTGATCTTCTACTCACGCCCACAGCAGTCTGCAGCTCCATCCTGGAAATCATGGCTTAGCAAATAAGGGGACGCTTTGCTCATTTTGAATACCCAATTATGGTCAATGGGGAGAAAAATACCATACTTGTACATGATTAGATTACTGAAGTAAAAAAAGTTTCTAAGACAAGACCAGGATAATGCATTCTCTCTTAGAATTACAGTAACTAATAAAACCATAAATATAGGACATGGAAATCAGGACAAAAGGAAACAAAATGTATAGTGCCATTCAACCAAAAACAAAAAAAACTTCAGCAAAAAAAACAACTCTGTAGTGCTTACCCTGCTATTAGCAGATTCATACATGTCGCCTTCCACTTTTCGAGCATATGCTACAAGATTCTCCATACGTCGGTCTTTTAGCGCTGCTGGGTCAGGTGTTGGGAATATGGCTTGAACACTAGTACATATAAAAAGAGAAAGGTTTTGGAACTTAGGTTTACTGGGGAGAAATAATGCTACTCCCAATTCTTACATCTAAGAAGTGGTACAATGAAACACTACTTATAGCAAATGAATACAATAACCGCAAAGGAGCCAGATAACCAATTTACATTTTACGCAGTCATTTCTATTAAATGTAGTTGACCACACCAAATTATAAACCAAAAAGGACAGACTGATGTAAACACTACCCGGTGTAGTCGGTAGATGGGCAGTGTGGTGAAGATCTGTGTTCTGATATAACAAATGGGGGGTACCCATACAAGGTTTTTTTTCCTGCAAAAAGTACATTTGTTCTCATTTTAAATGACCCCCTATGGCCCGACCCCCTGAAACCTCTTCTTGCTTCTCCAAGAGGTTTAGTGGCCTGTTGGAAGCTTCTCCTACCAAAGTCCTCTAGATGGACTACTCTTCCATACATGGGCAAAAGAATCTACAATTATTCCTACAGGAGGCCATCCACGTTTGAACTGCATAATAAACAGCTTCTCTGTAGAAATAATTGGAAATCTTATTGCAAGAAAAGCCCCAGCTGGGAGACTTCTACAGCAGTGTGGATGCCAACCGAACACTGTGAAGATTTCGGAAGATCAAGGCTAAATGAGTATAAGACTTGAGAAGGGAAGAGAGGGGGTGTCATTGAAAGGAAAAAGTCCCAAAAGTAGAGGTATCCAAGTTGAAATCTTGGGGTCAGAAGTCACCTGACTGTTGCTGTTCTTTCAACTCGCAACAGAAGATAGTCCAGAATCCCCTCCAGATCAAAATCCCCCTGCACCGCATTAAGACCAGCACAGGGGCCAGATCCTTGGTGAACACCCTTGAAGAAGAGGTCCTCCTCCAACATGAAGCACTAATGTGAGCGGCAATCGGCACATGGAGATATGGGTCCTTGATGCCGATGGAAGCGAAAAGATCCCCCTGGTGAAGAGACGCCACCACAGACGTAACTTGCGGACCCTCAAAAATGGGCCGAACACCTTCCTGTTTGGGAACAGTTAATAGATTTGGATAAAACCCTTTGATTCTCTCTGAGGGAGGCACTGGGACAACCACCCACTGGGCCAACAGATCAGCAACGGCTTGGCGCAGACCCGCAAACGGCTGCTGAAGAAGATGCATATATGAAGCAAAAATCTGCCCCCAGGCCGGGACAGAAATTCTACATTTTAACTGGAAGACACCAGTTTGTATGCCCTGGTGTCTGAAATGAGAAAAGCAACAGTGTGTTAACTCCTACCAAAGACCCCACCGCCCATCCTGAGCCACAAGAGTGGGGGCCGACCCTCATGCGTAAGAGGGCTTTCCAGCATGCGTGGACAACTTGGACTGCCAGGGACGCTAGGAATTATAGATGGTAGGGGGCTTGGAAGTCTTGCCACCTTAGTCTGTGAAAGTGGAGGGCTGAAAAGACAGACAAGAATTTTTACGCCGATCCCCGGATCTACTGGCTGGAGGCAGAAAAGCTTCTCGATAATCTCATCCAAAGTAGTCCCAAATAGGGCAAACCCCTGTAAATGGCAATTGAAGAAGAGCCTTTTTAGAGGTCTGATCAGCCGACCAGCACTTAAGCCATAACAGTCTGCAAAGGATAATTGTTGAAATAGACAGTTTAAGAGAACTGCCCAGCATCCAGCACAGCGTTGCAAGCATATTTTAAAACCAAATGCTCTGCCAATTTGACAGTCTGCACTTGCTTGCTCTGCACATAAGCAGTCGGAACTTGTTTGTTACCTGGGCCCTGGTGCAACAACATGGCCCACTCTGTAAAGGTCTGGGAGGCCAAAAGGAAAGCCAAAACTGGATGCATTTGGACTCCAGCGACAGTGTACAAGGTCCTCAAAGTAGCTTCTGCCTTCCTATCTGTAGGATCCCTAAAAGACGGGTACTCCTCCGCGGGAATGGCTGTATTAAGATGCAAAACCGGCAGCGAGGACCACTTCTTTAGGAACAACTCAAGGGAAAGGGAGCTTAGGTACCGAAAAAGACTTTGTGGTTCCTTGTAGATAAAATCATAAAAAGGAAGGGAATGTACGGAAACGTTCTGATCGAGCGGCGAAGCTTATGCATCCCAAATATAACTGGAGGAGCCCCTGAGGAGTTGGGAACATCCTCAATTTTTTTTATATTTCCCTGACTGTGCGATAAGCGCAGAAACCAACTCCCGCTGCTGAATAAAGAGCGAAGCTGACATCTCATCATCACTGTCAGACCCATCCTGTGAGGAATCCCTGGAGACAGGCAGATCCAACGCCGCCAAGGTCTCATCTTCCACCCCTGACTCTACCGAGGGAGCAGGGGAAGGCGGCGGAGTGGGTGCTTCAAGAAGGATTTCTGCAACAGATCACACTATGAGGGACACAAAGCCCTCTATGGCAGACAAAAAGGCTCCAAAAGGAAAGCGCTGTACCCAGCATGCATGCGGTCCCCACAGAAGGGCCTGAAGGTGGCAAAGGCAACTGGGGCAGCAATGCAGAAGTACAGATGGCAGGCAAGGGGAAGTGGGGAATACCCTCACAGTTTAGACTGCACCCCTATACAGCACTGCCGAAACCTTTTCCCCTACGGTCCATGGCAGACAGAAAATGCCCACCCAGACATGTGCAGCCATCTGGCACTCCCCAAAACCGCAACAGGTAAAAGGGAAGCCACCACATGTCCAGACAGCAAGACAGCAAACAGCAGGGCACCAGCAGTGTCCCCGAGGAGAGAAGGTAAGTTCAGCATGCGGGCTAAAAGAACAGGATTGCCAAAGAATAGGGAGGCGGCGCAGCCCCATTGAGAACGCGGTTGCGCTGCCACTATAAAGTCTAAGCAAGGCTGAGTCGACAAGAGGTTTGCAGAGGCACCTGGATTGCCACTAGCCGTAGCCCGGGAGCTGCCAACCTGGGTGCGACTGGGCAGCGGAAACCACATATGCACCTCACCAGGAATTCTACCACAGGCCACTCTAAGGATCCAGAGTAGTCACAGCCAACCCTGCCGCGTTGAGAGCCTGCATGTGCTCGATGGCCGGCTGGGGAAGACTACAAGAATCTATAGATCATCAAGCATGTCGTCGTCCCCTCAGCCGGCTCTTGCCTGAAGAGTCACTAAAAAAACATAGAATTTTTTTAAAAAAAAGGAAAAAGAATCCCAGGAAAGACTTGCAGGTCCTTACTACTGACACTAGGCAAAAAACTGGAGGCTGGTCAACAGGTTGGGGGCTGGCCACCAGCAGAGGCTGTTTTTTCTTTTGTGCCTAGCGTCCTTTTCTTGTAGGTGGCGCAATACCTTGTGGTTATAGATCTATGATCTCTACATAGTGTCCATCATTGAACGGAAGAGAAAAATAGGCTGAATCTGTGCTCTGAGCTACTGGAGAAAAGGATTTTATGAGTACAGTACAAAATCAAATTCTGGGGCTCGGTATGACAGGGTGCGCAACTTCTAACAGATTTCCTTCCAGCAGCTGTTTGTAGATGATCCTTTATCATTTTTCAGTGTTTTGATTGGGCACAACTGGATAAATATATCCTACCTCCTAAGGGCAATACGCTAAGCTAAACTGGACTTAGTCACTGTGCCCAGGGGTACAGTCAATTGTGCCTTTGATTTGCCTAGTGTTCAGCCTCCTAGAGGCAGGGCGTATATCCAGAGGTCAGCTGATGCGTTCCCCATAAATGCTGGGAGAAAACCAGATAATCTTAACATTAACGTTGCATGTACAGTTAGTCTTCATAAGCGGGTGAAACAAAACATTTACAGAAAAAAGTTGTCCAATTCTAAATGGATACACTGCTCTGCCAGTAGACTGCAGACATTTTCCATATACATCTGTTAGACCAGTTAAGCCCATAAAGCCTGCATATTGTGATTGCACTCTGGGGTTGGTATGGGGATTATCTTACCACTTCTGGTTGCTAACAGAATAACTCAGAGCATGAAAAACTGCTTAGTTTATACCCCAGTGGTCCAGGAGTTGAATTTGTGCACTGGTGAGCTAATACTACCGTGTTTCCCCGAAAATAAGACACTGTCTTATATTTTAGCAATTCCCAAAAATGGCACTAGGGCTTAATTTTAGGGTAGGTCTTATTTTTGGGGAAACAGGGTAGCTAAAAAAAAGGTGTTTTCAAACTTTTACAGGTAACATGGAGGCAATATTTATTCTCCAAAAAGGGAATGCAGTGCAGCAACCTAAGCGATTTTGTATCGGTATTGTTGTAGTGATGGTGACTGGAAGTGTGTAAGCCTCACACTGGGATTTCAAGGTTATATTTATTAAAGGTGAATAACCTTATAGCCTTCTCTAGTTTTAAAATAAAAATTGGCCCATGTAACTATGTTTGTGTTTTAGGCTAAGGCCTCATTCATACTGTCGTACAATACGCTGTGTATATGCACGTATTGTCCCATATGCAAATAAATGGCTCCGTACACATAGCTGCCTATGGAGCCATATATTTGCGTAGCGTAAAAATGCGCAAAAACAGAATGTACCCGAGATGTCCGGGCAGCGTATTTCTGCGTATTTTAATGCGCATACACGCACGTACAGTTCATTAAAATTACTATTACGAATGATGCATTCTGGGATTGCATATACCCTGTTTCCCCGAAAATAAGACCTATCCCGAAAATAAGACCTAGTACTATTTTTGGGAATTGCTAAAATATAAGACCTACCCCGAAAATAAGACCTAGTTGTGACCATTCCCAGGGCCGGTGGTGGCATAAGGGGGAACTTGAAGGGCCGCGGGAGAGGCAGGAGAGAATCAGCGGTGCCAACAAAGCCAGTGCTAGAGGAAGCGAGGCGGCACCGGAGGGAGCAGTCGCATAAGCCGATGCCTCCTCGTGTCTTATTTTCGGGGAAGCACGCAATATACAAATTTGCTCTCAATATACAATTTTGCTCTTGCGTTGTGTGTGCATGAAGCCTTAATGCTTTGATTATACTTTTAATGATGCAATCATTTTACACAATTTTAACAAGCAAAAAAATAAATCCATTTACTACTTACAGTTTGTGAACAAGATGGTTTCTGAGGTCCTGGGTTATATCTTCATGCCAGGGTTTTCGGCCCCCAATGCCAGATGGTGGGTTTGCAACGGGCATGGATCCTAGCTTGGACGTACTCCCGCCATCACCAATCAGAGAGCTGGTAAATGCAGATTAAAAAATTTAATGCGTTGGCAACTCAGGCCTGAATTTATCAAACACTGCTCTATGTTACATTGCAAAATGAAAACCATTTTAAGTGGTACTTCAAATTTTTTTAGGTTTAGAAAGAGTGAGCCCCATTTGGTAGACCCCCCGTCACATATTTTTGCAATCCAAACAAATAACTCCAGGGGTCTACAGTAGAGAAGGCAAAAGATTAAATATGGATAGTGGGCAACTAATGTAAAGGGGTACAACATTCATAGACATGACTGGGCAACTAATGTAAAAGGGTACAGCCTGTTCAGGAGGGACAGGGTTGGTAGAAGGGGGATAGGGGTATGCATGAATGTGAAAAACAAGCTAACTGTGCACATATGAGATGACCTCTCAACAGAGTTGCGATGTTGTTGAGTCTTTGTGGTTAGAACTAGACAAGATTGAAGCTAGTTGTAAACTAATTGTGGGTGTGTGTAATAAACCCCCATAAATAAGTGAGGAGGAGGCTCACCTACATTCCCAAATAGAAATAGCTGTGCAGCAGGGAAATGGTATAATGGGTGACTTAAATTATCCAGACATTGATTGGTCTCATTGACTCATTCTATAAAGGTTGGCAGTTTCCTAAACTTGTTGCGGGACAATTTCATGGACTAGATGGTTGATGTCCCAACCAGGAAGAATGCTATACTAGATTAATTTCCAATAATGCAGACCTAGTTGCAGACATCGAGATTAGGGATACATTGGGTATTAGTGATCACAGGGCGATTAGTTATAATGTTGGGTACAGAAAAGAGAAGTGTGTTGGTTTGACAAGAACGCTAAAATTCAAAAAAGCAAATTTTGATAAGCTGCGTCATCTGGTATATGACAATAAATGGGACAAATTATTTCCAACAATGAACACTGACGAGAAGTGGGATTGTTTTAAGAATACATTGCATAATGCGATTACCAAGTCCATACCATTGGGTAACATAAAAGATCGAGTGCTCACCCGAAAAATATAAGAGGGAGGGGACTACATTGGCATTCCAGGGCTACAAGGAATGCAATAAGATAAGTAAACATGAAATCCTGGCAGCTAAAATAGATTATGAAAAGCATATCGCTACAGTCTGAGAAAACCCCCCCAAAATTCTTCCAATACATAAACAGTAAAAAAATTTAAGAAAAGAGCAGGTAGGCTCAATAAAAGATGAGAATGGGAGATTAATCACAAACGACAGAGAAGGTGAAGGTATTAAATTCATTTTTCTCCTTAGTTTAGTGCGCAAGATACCGCAGTGGTTGACAGTAGCCACGGTTCAACAAAGACTTGAAAAACTTAATGCAAATAGTTAGGACCAGATAACCTGCACCCTAGGGTACTTAAAGAGCTCAGCCAGTTTATAGCGAAACCGTTATTCCTCATTTACGAGGACTCCATGCTGAATGGAAGGGTACCAAGTGATTGGCGTAAAGTTACGGTAGAACCAATATTCAAAAAAGGTTCAAGATGCCAGCCGGGGAACTATAGACCAGTCAGTCTAACATCAATAGTTTGCAAACTGTTTGAGGGAATGATAAAGGACTATTTAGTGGATTTTGTTCATGGCAAATGGTATAATAAGTGATAATCAGCATGGATTTAGGAAGGACCGTTTCTTGTCAGACCAACCTACTAACATTCTGCGAAGAGGTGAGTAGAGATCTGGATAGAGGAAGGCCAGTGGAAGTGGTGTACCTGAATTTTGCAAAAACATTTTACACAGTACCGCCAAACACACAAGATTAAATCTATGGGCATAGATGAAATGGTGTGCACATGGATAGAGAACTGGCTACAGGAGCATGTCCAGAGAGTATTAATAAATGGCTCTCTCAGATTGGTCTAAGGTCGAGAGGGGCATGGCCCCAGGGTTCTGTGCTAGGCCCAATGCTGTTTAATCTGTTTACTAATGATATTGGGGAGGGTGTTAATAGCCATGTTTCTGTGTTTGCAGATGATACGAAAATTGGGAGGGTAATAATAGACACAGGCTTAGACATAACATTACAGGAGGACCTGGACAAAATAGTGGAGTTGGCAACTATATGGCAGATGAGGTTTAATGTTGAAAAATGCAAAGTACTGCATTTTGGGGTTAAAAATAGGCAAGCGGAATTCACATTAATGGGAACTCGACTAGGTAGGTCACAAATGGAAAACATTTGGGGGTTATAGTAGACCACAGATTAAGCATGCAATGCCAGGCTGCGGCAAACAAAGCTAGCAGAGTACTGCCATGCATTAAAAAGGGAATGTACTGTAGAGAGCAATCATTTTGCCACTTTTATAGATCACTGGTTTGGCCACATCTTGAGTATGCGGTTCAATATTGGTCACCAATCCACAGAAAGGATGTCCTGGAGCTAGAGAGTCCAGAGAAGGGCAACTAAACTAATTAAGGGGCTGGGGGACCAAAGCTATGAGACAAGGTTGCTAAATTTAAATTTGTTCACGCTGGAAGTGAGAAGATTGAGAGGGGACATGATTTTGTTGTACAAAATGTGTAGTGGAGAGGGCAACACAAGCAATAAACCTTTTACTGTAAACTCCTTAACAAAGACTAGAGGCCACTACCTAAAATTGGTGGAGAAAAGATTTAATCACAAATGGCGTAGGGGCTTCTTTTCATTTAGAGTGGTTACATTTTGGAACTCTCTGCCCCAAGCTGTGGTATTAGCAGAGAGTAGTGAAATCATTCAAAAATCAATTAGATAGCGTCCCCAGAGACTGAAACATACAGGGGTACAGGTACTCTTTAAAAACTAAGACCACGCAGGGATTCATATACACACATGAATGCACAACACACACAAGACACACAAAGGTTGAACTTCATGGACCTGTGTCTTTATTCAACCTCTAGTACTGTGTAACAAGGAGAGTAGAAAAGGGTTACAACCATCAGGTTTTTATTGCCGTCTGTCCCTGTTAGGGAGATTTATGTTCTAACAGTTCTGATCACCAACTTTACCAGGAATGCAAGCGAGGGTAGACTCAAAATTTGTGCCCAGAAAGGAATAAAAAGAAAGAGAAATCTTCCAGTACAAACACTTGTTCCAATGACAACTGTTTGAGAGGATGTCATTAACATTGGAAAGATAGACGCCAGTAATAGGCACTAGCCAAACAAAGCACAGCCCTCAATCTGTTAGGGACTAGTTAAGGTCCCAAAGCAGTACATAGAAAACAACTGGTCACAGACAAAACATCTAGAGGGGTGGGTGCCGTGTCCTTCAACAGGGGTGTGGATGTAGTTCCAGGAGCTGGGCGGGTGTTTTTTCCCCTCTACATTTAGCCCCGCTTCCGGCAAGCAGGGCTAAATGTAGAGCAGGGAAGCCGTAGCTCATTTTGTACAAGTGATCTGGGTGGGTTCCAGCTGCCCAGATCACTTGTATAGCAGCCTGTTAGCTGATGGAGGCACCCGTACAGGGGTAGTGGTGCAAGCGGTCTGGATACCACTAGAGAACGAGGACATAATAATAAAAAAAAGATTAAAAAAATAAAAGAATGGGGTTTTTTAGCAAGTCTGGCCCCCATAAAGAAGATAAAAAAAAAACCCTGAAGGTTTAATGTCGCTTTAAATATGGTTTTGGTTAAAATTATTTTATGTATCATGACAAGTAGATTGTCATGAGAGACAAGTAGATTGGACCCCAAATTTAGTCTTTGGACTTTTTAAAAAATGCCCACCTGCTTCAATGAACACAGACAAAAGGATTTTACAGTGGGTACAAAAATCTTATTTTCTCTTCCATTCATTGAAAGACACAGCAGAGATCTTTAATCTGTGACCATTGGGACTTCCCAAAGCAGTGTCTACTGAGGGGTGGAAAAACTGAACAATTCCCTGAAGTCAGGAACAGCACATACTGACTGTAAGACACGTGAACTGCAAAACTGGATACATAAATTTCCCTTATATGAGAGGTCCTCGGGCAACATGCAAGTGGCTAGGTCTACCCAAATAAATGGCCTCAGAGCCTGGGAGGCCTCTTCTAGGAAGCTTGGAAAAATGTAGACTTCTATTGAAAGTGAGGTAAACACGCACAGCACAAACAACTAAATAGTGAAGTGAAATTTTTCTCTTGAGGTAGAATACAACAATCACAGTAGGAAGGATGGTAAACACGGTAACACCACTCTATTCCGGTGTAAGAGACAGGAAACGGTCTTCAACTCATAACACCCTCCTCCCCCCCTAGAAGTGATGGCAACCAGGACCCAGTGAGTTGAAATGGAAAAAGGAATATTCTTACCAGGATCAAAAGGATCCAATACCCAGAGAACCATACATAAGTTCAACAAACAGGAAGACTTGCATAGGTCACACCCTATACAAAAGCCTCAAAAGGAGAACTATGGGGTGAGTAAGTTACACTCCCCCCAAAGTTACAGCCAATGTGTGAAATTGAAAATCAGCTCTATTGATCGGGAAGTGAGCAAAAAACATACCGCCGCTCACTTCCAGATCATCTCCTTGCAGAGCGCGCTGACTGTCAGTCACTGCTCCCCAGCAGGGATTCCCCCTCCCCGATCCTCCAGTGCTGACTGGAGGGATAGACGGGGGAGGGGGCGGGAATAGCTGTAGATAGTCAGAGCCCGCTGTCAATCAAGCAGCGGGGTGGATCTCAACAGCATTGTGGGTTTTCCGTCCCGGCTGCGGCACCATCGCTACATACTGAGTTTTGGGTCACGGGAGGACTTTAGAATATGCCCTCCCATGACCCTAAAGAGAACTATGGGGGGAAAATGTTTACCCCATAGTTCTTTTAAAAAGAAAGGGAAGATTAGCAGTCTATGAAAGGGATTTCAAGAGATCGGATGTATCCCTAACAATGTTCCGGTGCAAACATCCATACAAACCAGAATATAACAGGTCAGCATTCTCCATGTGGTTTATTACCTGGGGCAAAAACTGTTGTCCACACAACAGGACAAGTAAGCCTGGATCTTTCAAACGTAGACTTCCTAACCTTCACAGTGCAGGAATCACCAACTTGAGCAACTCAGTGAGCGTAAGGCAGGATGGCAACACAAATCAAGAGCCTTAATGTGTATTTCCACTTTTGCAGCCAAATTGGGATAACACCTATTTTATATTTGTTACATGTTCACATTCATATAGAAGATTTAAAAAAAAAATGCTTTTTGCCGTTTATATTGCTTTTACTTGGGTTAGGGTTTTTGGCAACTTAAGGGTTAACATTTCTATGTGCTTCTCTTTCCTAATTAATGTTAGGAGGGGCCATTGTATTTCAGTCAATGAGAGAAACACAATCCTCAAATTTCAGCCCTAAGTCTTTTTATAAGGACAGATCATTGATGGCACCGAGAAAAACCTGGAATCAGCCATCTTGATTGCAACATTTAAAAAAGGTTAAAAAAAATGTTTTAAATTAGTTTTCAGTATGCTGCATGAATAAAAACACCCAACATATAGAGAGGTTTTATGAAACTTGGCTGCAAAAGAGGAAATACACTTTAGGACCTAGAATCCACCAGACGTGTGACAGGTCAGGCCTGCACAGCTGTCTGGGCATTTGTGGAGCTATGAGGAGCAGTAGAATGCCCTCCAAATGGATCCTGCAAAGCAGCAAAACTGTCACTTGACATAAAAAACAAAAACAGGTATGAGTAATTGGTATCGGCGAATACTTAAGGAAAAGTAGACTAGAGCAAGTCTAAAACCCCAGTGCACTTTTTTTTCCCTTGCTGTCTGTCTCTGTTGCAGGTTTTCCCTCACTTGCCAGCTGATGAAACCATTAACATATAACAGTAAGAAAAAGAAGCAGCAGTAAAAACCTGACAAGGAGTCTCTATAATTGTGTATTGGTGTGTAGGAGTGTGTGTATTACGGGGGACTATCGGTATTTGTATTTCTGGGTGTGGGTGTATTATTGTGTGTGTGTGTGTGTGTGTGTGTGGGGGGGGAGGATGTGCACATTCCTGTGTGAGTTTGAAGGTCCTCTATCCATCTGTGGGAAAATAAACACACACACAAACATTAACACATACAACGACATCGCTCTCAGAAATCCTGACAATACACACACAAACCATCACAAAAAAATATACTGAAATATACAAAGAAACTATAATGTCAGTACATGTGATGAACACATGCAGACATTAACACTGGTACCACATATAATTTTTTTTTTTGCAATATGAAATTGTTTAAAATTTTTCAAGTGGCTCCATGGAAGAACATTTGTCAGGTGGCCCCCAAGCGAATGAAGTATGAGACCCCTGGTCTAAACAAAGTGTGGAAATGTGAACCAGGATGCTTGGAACTCTATGCTTACTTTGTGTTTGTTCTCAATGTTACCCCTCCCCCTGCATGAGAAGACTTTTTGTTATGTACTTTTATTCTTTAGCACTGGAACTTAAGAAAACCTAGGAGCCTTTTAACACTTCTCAGTTTTCCTAAAGTAAAACTCAAATTGTATTGGCTGAACATGCATTTCAAGTAGAAAGCCTATTGTTTTCTGCGTGTATGAAGTTTAGTGTTTTTAAAAGGAAACACACGCATAGGTGTGAATGGGTCCATAAGCAGGTAGTGACCTTTTCTGTTCTTGCCTGGTGCTTAGCTGCCTGCTAACAAGCTATTTTTAATGCAGATTGCCACACACTCGAACACAAATATATTTTTAAAAAGCTCTATTTGCATAAAATACATTGCCTACGATCAGGTATTACACTGCTCTGAAAACAACCATTTTATTAACAGTGGGTAAACTTACTTTTGAGAATTAATGCCTAAATGTAGCACAGAATCAGGAAGCAAGTTAGAGCTCTGCACATCAATTCCACCATTGACATCCATTGAATTTGCATCTGCACAAAAGGAAAATAAGAAAAAGTTTTTAAAAGGTTTGGAAAAAAAAATGAGGAATTTGAAATTACAGAACCTGGCAACCAAATTATTTTTCCTAGTCATCGTTCAGGACAGCAACAGAGGATTAGTGAGAATTTATCCCAGGGTGGACTGCAGCACATATGACTTCCTGCCCAAAAGACTGGACTCCTGAGAAAAAAATAAAAATAAAAGCGGCACCAGAGCTTTGTGCCCAAACAGCGACAAAAAAGCCCAAGAAGACTGCATTCACAGAGTAACAAGAAAATAAGTTTTGTAGGTTCATCCAGTGGAAAATAGTTTCTTGCAGCCTCTGCTCGAGCCCAAGTTCAGCACATTTAAAGCTTTTAACTTTCTGAAGTCCAGGAAAATGTTCAAATAGAAGTGCAAACATCTCTTGATGCTCAATACAAGTTATTTATCATTTCATTATTTATCACAAGACAGTTGAAACACTATCTTGAGATTCGTGAAATTGGAATGCCACCTTTATAATGAACAGAACTCTGGAAGCTCGGCCCAAAAAAGGAAAGCAGATGGCAAACAACTTGTAACTAGCATTGCCTGTGGGCTTTCTGCAGCTGATCTTTTCACCATTACTGACTTACCATGCCTTGTACTACATTATGTCTTTGTGAAGGTAGCCATCTTGGTAGATGCAACGATTTGCTTCCTAAAGTCAGCTCTCAACAAAGAGAACAGCGAGTAGCACAGTAGTAACAATACAAATTCTCACTCCAAATCCCCTAGGACTAGCAATCAGACAGCAGTGCTTAAGATCTCACTGCAGGTATAAAAACTAGGCTCCATCACATAAAGGAAGTGCACTGACATTTTTCAGGGTATTACTCAGGTACAGTTAAGATTTCTTGATCTTCCCTATAACATAGCAACTCTCCACTTTTTGAGTTTAGGTTCAATTTAGGGAGAGACCCAGGACCAGCCTTCAAAACCAAAGGGTTATAAAAAAAAAAAAGGGTTTTGGTTTTCAATCAAGAGGCTGTATTTCAGTTATCTGAGGAACTCAAGTCACCCGCAGCACAGTCTTACCTGTGACATATTTTAAAGTGGTTAAAAACAGCATCAGTTAAAAGGACAATTGATATATCCTATTCTAAAAGGATCCAACAAGTCTTTAAACACAGGGGATTCAAACCAAAAAGAGAACCTGGTGACAGCCTTACAGATTTGGGTAACAGAAACACACTTGCCACAAGTGATGGTGCCAAAGAAGGAAACCTTGCACGTGAGAGGGGCCAGAGGGATATCTTAGAGGTTCAAAGGGTGGCTTCTGCAGCACTAACAGAACTAAGTTGTGGTCTTTACAAGAGAGTAAAAAGGCTAGTGGCCTCTGGGAAAAAAAATCGCCATGGCAGAAATTTGGCCCTTGATCGTACTCAAGGTTCAATGCTGGTCTAGGCAAGACTGGAGGAAAGAGGATGCATCCTATGGAGAACTTCCTGAGCCAGGCCGTTAAGCCAGCAACTGAGAAGCATTGTCAAGTAACAGTGCTTGGGACAATAGGTCCGAACAATCTGTAAGTGCCCTTGGAGAATCTGCCAGTAGTTTGTCTACAGCCGCTTACCACAATCTCATGGGCCAGTTGGGAGCAATGAGGATCACCAGAATGTCCTTCATCTTGATCGCGTAAAGGAGGCAAGAGTTTCAGAGAAGGGAAGGAGTAGAGAAGGCTCAAATGACACAGCAGAGTCACCAATGAATCTGTTGGAAAGATCTGGGGATCACCAGTCCTGGAAACATTCCTGTCCAGCCTATTGGGCCTGGATTCCAGAAAGTCCATTTCTGGCACCCCCCACTTGAGACAAAGGTCACAAAACAGCTCCGGGTGAAGGAACCATTTTGTAGGATACAGACAGAGGAAGTCCACCTACAATTTTCCACACGTGGGATATGCATGGTGGACAGGGTGGACACTTGAAGTGTTTAGGAGAAGAACACAGTTTTTCAAGGCGACCATACAACACCAGCTGTAAAGGAACATGTAAAGGGCAGGTTTTGGCATGTGTCACCATTTTTAAGGAACACAGACTAGTCACCTTCGGCATGATCAATGCAGGTGACTGACTGAACAATCATGCATCCACAAGGAAAGGGACAAAGACCCGGATGTGGAGAGGGAAGGGGAGAAAGAGCAGTCTAGAGCTACCATAATGGGCTTTTAACCGAGAAAGCCGGAATTCCATGTTACTTGCTCCACCAAAAAGGGCCAGAGCAGGTTTAAGTCTAGAAATGATTGCATCCCAAGCTCCTTTTTGTAAGACCCATCTTTTTTGTGTAGGGGGTCCTTTAAGAGACCCATGTCTTCAACATAGAAATCACTGTTCGATACCTGAGACAAGATGCACGCTGAACAGGGTTCCTTTGGAAATGATGCTGTCAGAAAGTAATAAATAGATACAAATAATAAAGGGCCATTAGTTACTGGGGACCTTTTTTATTTTTAATCTCTGGTTTTCTTGTTCTGGTGGATGGACTTTCACCCATTAGCTGTCCTGGAAGATGACTGGAAAATATTAAAGGTAAAATGAGAAGCTGAAAAACATATGGTGTATTTTTGCACTGTTAGCTACAGACTTGGATCCTTCCTTCGATCTGAACCATCCAATCTACTCTACATATTTGTCTGAGGATATCAGTTTTCTAAAAAGGTATTATTACTAACTGGTATTGATACATTAGCAATCAGAAAGATCACAGGTTAGCAGATTGTTTTTCTCCGCTTTACATTTTTAAAAATGTTTTTCTTTTTTAAGCAAGGTTAGGCAGATCTTTAAAGAGACATTTCATAAAATACGAAGCTGCAGCCAACTGCTCACTATTGAAAGCACAAAGAAAAAAATACATGGGGGGAAAAAAAAAAAACATGAAACCCAAAATCCTGCATGTAATTGTGCCTTTATATTCTGAATACGCAATAGTAGGTAAAAAAAAGAAAACTTACTTATTGAGTTCATAGAGCGCATTGCCTGAGTTGACTGCCCTGGTTGATGAACCTTAGCTTGTGTATGAGATTGGGATTGCATCTGGTTCCCCTGATATGGTAATCCCAGAGCTGCATAAGCTCTCTCAATAGAGCTAGGATCAATCTGGTTGTTAGAATTAATGGAGGGTGTTGGCTGTTGGTTCACATTGCCAGCGGTACTCGCAGTCCCTGTAGCTCCTACAGTTATTGGTGGGCTACCAAACAAAGCTGTAAAGAAACACTGCCATTAATAAAAAAATACGATGCATAAAAATAAATTTTATTCATCATCAATCTGTAAATTATTTTATATTGATATTTAATCCCCTGTTGAGGTCGATGCCATATTTAAATGTGAGCTGTGCTTCTCATCCCGCAACCCTTGATCTGCGCGCGCGCGCACACACGCACGCACACACACACTGTAAAACCTTTTGCACCTGTGGCTCTTCCTTAGTGCACCAATCACCCAGCTAGATTAGGAATACTGACAGAGCTGGAAGAGTTTTGCGAAGAGGAAAGGGGAGACCCACACACGACTCAAGGTCTAAATTTATGCATCTATCAAATACTAACTTTAAAAAAGGAGAATTATGAGGCGAGTGATTTTAACTCAGCCTCATAATCTGAGCCAACCTGTGACAATGAAACTGTCACAGGTTGGCTCAGTAGATCGGGGAGCGAACACATAGCGGGGCTCGCTCACTTCTCGATCTATCCGTGCAGAGAGCCGTGACTGTCACTCACGGCTCCCTGCAGGGATCCCCCCTCCGCAGTCCAATCCTAGCTCGCGGTATACTGAGCTTTGGGTGACGGGAGGACGCTAGTTTGTGTCCTCCCGTTACCCTTAGGAGAACTATGGGGGAAAGCCCTAACCCCATAGTTTTCCTTTAAGAGGGTATTTACTTATGCAATCATTTACATTTATGTGATTGGACACTGGAAAAACAGCTGTAAGGACAGCCTGAATACCTGGAGCAATAGCACAATGCGGCAACTGCACAAAGTGCCCCGGTATGTGCCCCATGCAGGATCCAGTGCCCTGAGCACATTACAGGCCAGCTCTGCATCTTCCTTCTGCTGGGTTCAAGATACAGTCTATTAGGCATCCACCACCTAAGGACACTAGCAAAAAACTGTAGGAGTCAGAGGGGTTATACAGGGATGCCCTTACAGCTTTGATTTGCGTTGCGATTTTGTGTCAAATCACCTGAAGATAGTAATTGCAATGCTAAAAATTGTATAAACACCTATTTGCAGTTCTGCTTTAGGAAGGCAACACTATACTCCCCAAAGTATAAATCCCCAAAGCTCTACTAAATCTTAATTACTTGCTGGTGCAATTTTAACAGTGAAAGTGAGCCTTTTGGATAAGGTCTTTTACAAAGAAGCGCACCTTACGTTAATCATCAGCCTAGAGTTACACAGCACAGCAACAACAAATAACAACCTTACACAACTCTGGTAGGAAATGCACGTTTCTCCAATAAACTGTGTAAAACACCCAAGACTCTAACATATACATACATTGTTGGTTACGCTTATCCCCAGCATTCTTCAGCGGTAAACAGACTGGGCAGTCATGTCGAGTACAGTTCTTCCAGTGAGAAATTATCTGTCGTGAAGAGGCACAGTGTGCAACTAAAGCCATAAAAAAAAAAGAAGATGGAAGGAAAGGAAGATGAAAGAAGGAAACACCGCTGTTAGACATGTACATATTATAACATTTAATAAATAAGTTGAACAATATGGGACCCAGCACAAAACCCTGAGGCACACCGCTCATTACACTAGCCCAGTCTGAAAAGGTGCCATTTGCAGATAATCTCTGGACCCGTTCCCGTAGCCAGTTCTCTATCCACGTACACACCACCTCATCTATGCCCATAGCTCTCAGCTTGTGTAGCAAGCGTTTGTGTGGTACCGTGTCAAAAGCCTTTGAGAAATCTAGATATACCACATCTACCGGCCTCCCTCCATCGATATCTCTACTCACCCCCTCATAAAAAGTTAGCAGGTTAGTCAGGCAGGAACGATCTTTCCTGAACCCATGCTGATTGTCATTAACTATCCCATCTTCCTGAACAAAATCTAACAGATAATCCTTTATTATTCCCTCTAGCAGTTTACAAACTACCGATGTTAGACTGACCGGCCTATAGTTCCCAGGTTGGCACCTAGCTCCCTTTTTGAATATTGGGACTACCGTAGCCCTCCGCCAATCACTGGGGATCCTACCAGTCATTAAGGAGTCCTTAAAAATGAGGATTAATGGTCTAGTTATAACCTGGCTTAATTCCTTAAGTACCTTGGGGTGCAGGTTATCCGGACCCACTGCTTTGTTTGCATTGAGCATTTTAAGTCTTTGTTGTATCCCGGTTTCCGTCAACCACTGGGGTATATTTTGAGTTAAACTGGGAGTTTTACCATGTGTGTCAAACCCGTTTCCCTCCTGAGTGTATACCGAGGAGAAAAAAGTGTTCAGCGCCTCGGCCCTCTCGTTGTCGTTTGTGACTAGCTTCCCGCTTTCATCCTTTATTGGGCCTATCTGCTCCTTTCTCACCTTTTTACTGTTAATATATTGGTAAAATTTTTTGGGGTTCTTTTTACTATCTGCAGCGATATGCTTTTCGCACTCAGTTTTAGCTGCCTGGGTTACTAGTTTACATTTTTGTTACATTCTTTGTAGTTAAGGAACGCCAATGCTGTCCCTTCCGTCTTATATTTTATAAATGCCGCTCTCTTGTCCTTGACGTGTTGTTTTACAGTTTTATTAAACCATATAGGTTTAGTCTTTGATCTTTTTCTCCCTAAAAAGGTATACACTTTGAACTAGCAGTATGTAGTGTGTTTTTAAAACAATCCCACATCTGGTCTGTGTTTAGGTTGAGAAATAAGGTTTTCCCATTTTATTTCCCCCACTAGGTTGCGCAGCTTATCAAAGTTGGCCCTTCTGAAATTTATGGTTGTAATCCGTCCAGCACACTTTCCCTTTCTGTATTCAATATTAAAAGTAATCACATTGTGATCACTATTACCCAATGACTCCCTAATTACAATATCCTCGATTAACTCTGCATTATTAGTGACAATTAGATCTAGAATGGCATTTTTTCTGCTCGGAATCTCCACCATCTGGTCCATGAAATTGTCACGCAACATGTTCAGAAATCGTCCCGCCTTCGCCGGACCCGAGGTTCCATTAGCCCAATTGATGTATGGGTAATTGAAGTCACCCATCACGACTACATTGCCGTCTCTCCCAGCTATTCCTATCTGCGAGTGAAGGTTGACTTCTCCCTCTTCACCTATATTTGGAGGTTTATAGCAAATACCCACCAGAGGTTTTCGGCTAGTGTCCGCCATATCTAGCTCCAGCCATAAGGTTTCCACATCTTCCCCATTATTTGACGCGATATCGTCCCTTATATGCATATTTAGATTATTTTTTACGTAAATGCAAACCCCCCCCCCGCCCACCTTCTCCCACCTCAGTCCCTCCTAAACAGGTTATACCCCTCTATATTAGTAGCCCAGTCATGCGTGCTGTCCAGCCAGGTTTCCGCTATACCCACTATGTCGAAGTCCTCATCGATTAGCCTAATTTTACACTGTATAGCAAAAAGATATGATTATTAAATATTATCCAATTACAAAAAAACAGTTTAAGACTCCAAACTTTATATTTTACCATTTTTAATTTATCATATATTAAGCAAGATACACTCCACCTACTAAATGTGCTGCAACTTGCTTCAGATGCCAATTTGAAGTTAGTTCTTTACATGTTAGTCATGTACTAACATGACCACATATTGAGCCTTTCTACAGACTCGACAGATCAGTTTTCAATGCCACCTACTGCAGCGTGGGAACATTAAAGGAGACCTGTGAGGTGAGTACTTTTCACTCACCTCATAGTTCTAGCCAACATGTGACAATGAGAGTGTCACAGGTCGGCTCAGTAGATCGGGAGGTGAGCGAACACATACCGGCGTTCGCTCACCTCTCGATCCTGTCACAGCTCTCTGCCTGGCATGTCTGCAGGTTGTCGGCATGGCATGTCTGACCACTGTGCTTTGGGTCTATGAATCCCTTTCAGTAGTTCACTCAAAAGGTTTCCATGCGGTCATGAGGGATCATCTATTGCAAAAAGAGAATCCACATAGAGTCCAGGTTAGGAGACTCCATTTATATCCATATATATTTCTTTAGATCTGCAACCAGGGCATCCATGGATTCCATTAGAAATCTATTTAGTAAGCAGTAATTAGCTGCAGTCATTGTGGAATTGGTTTCTTGCTTAACAGCAGTAGCACTTGTGTCTCCAAATGTCTGACAGACCTTAACTGCATCTGATCTCTCAGGTACTGTACAGTGCATCATACTTTTAAACCATCATAGCGTTGAAGCGAGATTAACATTTAAATGTTTCACATAAATAAGAAACCAGATCAAACATACCTTGGCATGTTTTTCCAGCCTGGCAGTGGGTCATATGATTCAGCACATTCTTCATGGTACGACAATGAGGTAAGTTGCACTGGCGCACCTCACCACTGGCTTGTTCTCTTCTCTGGCACTTATGAGCATGTAATAAAAGAACTAATTGTTGCTGGATCAGCTTTCGCTTTTCAGGATCTGCTGTAGGCGCTCCAGAACCAATTCCTTGTTGAGCACTAGGACCCATACTCTGAGGGCTTGAAGAAACAATGTTGGTTTGGGAAATCTGAGCAGACGACTGTTGATCCTGAATGGTGAGGGGGAAGATAATGTTTATGTATTAACATTTATTACTTTCAATGAACAAAATTATATAAAATATGTTGCCCATGTGGACCAGATCTCCCTGTCCATTTTATAAAAGGTACTGAAAAGAAACCTTTCTTGTTGAAGTGATTTGGTATGGGTGAACAATGACAACTCAAGACAAATTTGTTAAATTAGGTGCTTGTGTTTAAAAACGAAATATAGTAACAATATTGTCAAATGAAAAATGAATTTAATAGATCTTACAGGACTTCGGTAGTATGTCATGCCCTTCTACCCCTCCGCCCTTTATTTCATTTGTACATAGCTTTGCAACTCCTTGTACCACAATTAGAGATGCACCGATACCGGTTTTTCGTTTCGTTATCGAGTACAGATATTTTTTTTCCGGTACTAGCTGATACAGAGTGTCAGTGCCGTGTGCCCCGATTATCAGGAAGTTGGGCAGCGGATCATGGCCTGTCGCCCAGCTTCCTGATTGCCTGTGAAGCCCGGTCATTCGATGCCGCCCAGCTTCCTGATTAGTTAGGAAGCCAGACTGCCTAGCAACAAGTAAAAGACGGTTTCGTAGCCAATCATGAAGCCGGGTCATAACCTTCCGCAGGGGCGTCCCGAGGCTGGGTGACACCCGGAGCGGTTACCAGGTGCCACCCCGCCCACACGTCATCGCGCAGCAATCTTCTGATACCTGCCGGCGGCCATCTTGGTGATGGATGCCGGCAGGGAGAGGAGGGGACAGTCACCCGGCGGGATAAGGTATGCCGCTGGGTCCCCTCCTCTCTCTCCTGATACTGTCGGGTGTTCGGTCCATGGCCGAAAGCCAGACATTTAAGAGGGGGGTGACACCAAAATGACTGTCAGTCATTTTGGAGTCACCCCTCCAATGGTGTCACCCGGGTGCGGGCCACACCCCCCTTGTGACACCACTGACCCTCCGCCCAGCTTCCTAATTGGAAAGGAATCCGTCTCCATGCTCCCTCGGCACTGCCGGTCAGAGGGAGATGTCCCTCTGGCCGAAAGTTCCGGTATTGGAGTTAAGTATCGGAGCATTTGGGCAAGCATGAGTACTCACACAAATACCAATATTTGTATTGGTATTGGTGCATCCGTAACCACAACATAATTTGTGTCATTTTAAAAGGTTGTAGATTAAAATGTAGATCTTATCTACAGTAAGGACAGAGCTTCTGATGTCACTGCACTGAGCTGAGCCGGACGAACAGGTTTTTTTCATCGCTTTGCTGCCATTTGCCTTGCTGGTTTGATCCAGCAATACCCAATGCCTGTACTGTTTACACCATTGTGAGTACGCATTTTTATTTAATAAATTGCATTTTATTGGACGTTACGCACTATGTCCTTGTCCTTTTTCTTTCCTCCTGGATTTATGCTGGTACCAGTGATCTGAGGAGAGCTTATCGCCTGTGCATGGGCTTCCCTTCCCCATTAAGAAGGGAAAAAGCGCATTTGACCTAGCTCTGTGGGTCTACCTCCCCAGGTGAGCACTCACTTGTTATCACTCACTGGGTGGAGGTGAAGGTCTGCCTGCATTGTGTGATTATCCTTACCTGAGAGTTACATGCAGATTGGCTGCGAATTATCTGAGGAATTTTCTTGCACAATCTCCATTGTTTCCTTTTGTTTTTTCCTGGGACTCTTTTTGTCTTTATTGTTATTGTGTGTAGATATATTTTTTATACCTCATTTGTTTGAAGGCTCATATATGCGATTCATTTATATATGTTTCAATGTATTAGAGGTGTATGATTATTAGCTCGGCACACATTGTTTTTCACATTTTCCAGATATTTAGTTACCGTATTTTTTGCTCCATAAGACGCACTTTCTTCCCCCAAAAGGCAGGGGGAAATGTGTGTGCATCTTATGGAGCGAATCCCTCGTTTTTGTACATTTAGCCTTGCTATAAAGCAGAGCTAAACGTAAAGTGGAAGCCGCTGCTCGTTTAATACAAGTGATATGTTCAGATCACTTGTATTAAAACCGAGCGGCGGCGCCCCCCACCGTGGTTTTCGGGTAACCCGTTCTTATGTGGGACCCCTGACCACGGGATAGGAGCTCACCGTAGAGCCCCTAGGCCGTTCTTCATCTGCTCTGTGTGATCACGGAGACAGGTGGCGCTGTAATCACAGCGCCACCTGTCTCAGTTGTCACTTACTGCAGCTTCTGTCACAGAAACAGCATGCGTCTCATGTACCGGTGAGCTTTATGGACCGCAAAATACGGTATATCCTTAGTGCTTGGTAGCTCTTATTTTCACATTACACTTACTGGCGCTGATCACCTTGTTTATTTTTATCTACAGTAAGACTATTTTCATACGTGCATGTATTCTTAAACGGATGTTGCCTGTATTTTATATCTGTACATGAGTTGAAGTATATCTAGCTTTTATAAATTCCCCTTTCACCTTTGTAACTGTCGGAGATATTGGAGCTTTTGTTGAAGAGATACCATACCTAATACAAAAAAAAGCGCACCACCATGTCATTTTTTTAAGCGCATCTTCTACATAATTTACAAATATATAAATCGAGCCTTTAGACAAAAAGGATATCAGAAGTGTGATTTTTTTATGTAGCGGAATTGAAACACTCAATGTCAAGGTTTACTTCTTAAATTTAGGAAGGTTTTTGTTTTTTTCTAACCAGTTTAAATCTTTGTAACGTTTTAAAACCTTGACCTCAAGTGGTTAAGCAATAAAGCCTTCAATGTCTGCACCAAACCTGTAGATTAGTCTTTTAAAGAGCATTACTGGTAAGGTCATCTCTTTGCTCAGCCTGTAAATGAAAATCAGAATTTTTTATACCCTCTTATTTTGCGTGAGTGTCTAAAAAGTCCTGAATCCATTAATCACTATGATAGCCAGCGAACTAATATTTTTAGAAGAGAAAGGTGAGCAACAGCGAACTCCCCACTACTCAACTACAGGTTTCTTCCATCAGCTCTGGAATACTCACCATGTTTGTCAGGCTAGTTGCAGGTTTCTTTTCCAATGGAAACTCTGAAACACTCCGCATAGCAGCTTTGTTCTGCATTTGTAAACTAATCCCCGCAGCTCCCTCCTGTGGGCATGAATTCTGACCATACGATGCCCCATATGGATTAGAATTGTTCATTATTCCAAGCTAGAAAGAGAAAAATAGTTCAATTGAGAAAAAGTAAGACCTAAATAATGCAACTATTGAAGAACCCCAATCAGCATCAAAGTATAACTCAAATAATAAAAAAAAAATAATGCCATTCAAAATTATAAGATAGGTTTAGAAAAAGGCTGGAAAAAAGGGTGAAAAAAACCAACATCTATTGCAACACTGAAAGGGCAACCTGATACATTTCCTAGATATCGCCTAGCATCCTCTAATAATTGATACTACTAATATCAGCTGTAAAAAAACCTAGACCAGGAGTGCCCATTAGGTAGATTGTGATCTACCAGTAGCTCTCAAAGTTGATGCTGGCAGATCACGAAGGGTGTGAATGGCGGCCCCTTTATTCCATTTTGGTATATTTATATCGCTGTGCACACATGATTTCCTATTAGCCTGAGTCTGATCAGCCAAGCTCCCTGACACCTTTCTGGTGGATACTGGTGGCTGAAGTGCTATGTATTAGATCAAAGAATATGCGTTTACACAGCCTGTTGCACTACACTGTTTGCAAAATTCAGCAAGGTGAGCGGGGAGAGACAGCGAGGGAGGATGAGCGGGGAGAGACAGCGAGGGAGGATGAGCGGGGAGAGACAGCGAGGGAGGATGAGCGGGGAGAGACAGCGAGGGAGGATGAGCGGGGAGAGACAGCGAGGGAGGATGAGCGGGGAGAGACAGCGAGGGAGGATGAGCCAGGAGGATGAGCCAGGAGGATGAGCCAGGAGGATGAGCCAGGAGGATGAGCCAGGAGGATGAGCCAGGAGGATGAGCCAGGGAGGTTTTTTTTCCGTTGGTAGATCTCATGTAGCTTGTCATCTGAAAAGTAGATCTTAACACAAAAAATTGTGGGCACCCCTGACCTAGACCTTTTAGGATCCATTATTCATGCATGGCAGAGCTCTCCACAAGTCTTAGAGCATGTTCGCACTAGAACACACAAATTAATGCATACTCCATTGAGGTATGCTGGCAAGTATTTTAGATGGATTTCATTGAGTTGCGAATGTCAGCGTACTGTATGGCCACCTTTAAAATGACAGCAGCAAGCAGTAGCTATCAATCGAGATATGAATATTTGTGACAATAAAAGGGTCCATTAAGAGTTAAGTCAATTAAGTACAATAGGTATAGAGCTGCAGCTAACGATTATTTTCAAAATCGATTAGCCGATTATCGAGTTCGATTAATCGGATAAAAAATTAAATAAAAAAATACATTTTAAAAAATGGCTCCAGGGATGGGACTTCTAGTTTGTATTGAGATTGTAGTCCATCACAGGAGCAAGCTTGGAGCAGTGGAAATAAATAAGATTAGCATCAGTACTTAAAAACAGATGAGCTAGCATAATCCTACTAGCAACTCACAACATTGAGTTTTTTAAGCCACTGGAAATGGTAAAGCGAGAGATTTTATAAAAAAAAACTACAGGTAAAAGTTAAAGGATGCACCGATACCAGTTTTTCGGTATAGAGTACTAGAGGTGCACCGAAATGATGAAAGTTTCAAAACCAAAATGACTTGCAGTCCGGCTTCCTGATAGCGGAAGTTCAGGTATCGGGCTAGGCATCAGGGGATATTGGGGAGAGTACAATATCGGTATTGGTGCATCCCTAATAAAAAGTAGTCTTCACGGCATCTTTGCACATTATGGAAGACTTGCCTCACAAAGGGCAATGGAAGCTGTCGCTGTTATTTTCTGGGCTTCTTGCAGGTGCAATTACTTCAGCCTTCCCTATTGGGCTGCCAGGGATTACTTATTTTCTGCACATGCTCATGGGAGTTACTTGCCCCAATGCTTACACCTGGCATGCCAAGACTGAACACAAAACTAACGAAAAAAACCAATACTGGTTGCAAGATGAGCAGGTTGTGAAGTTGGTTTAAACACTCAAAAGGCAGCTCTCACTGGTCAAAAAGACCATCGATCTAGGAAACAAGGGACAAGACAGAACGCCTCCATAGTGTAAAAGGGTAATTTATTTGTACAACACGCAAATGAAAATGTACTTACAGGAAAGTCGGTGGTTAAAAGCATTTGTGTGCTTTTAAAAGGAGAACTACGGGTGTCAGTGTTTTTCCCCATAGTTCTCCTTAGGGTAACGGGAGGACACAAACTAGCGTCCTACCATTACCCTAAGCTCAGTATACCGTGAGCTAAAGCTCGCGGTATACTGAGACGGCGGAGCTGATCCCGACATCGATGTCGAGATCTGCCCAGCTGCGTGAGTGACAGCTGGCTCTGCCTGTCTAGAGGCAGAGCCAGCTGTACCCTCCCCCGTCCGTTCCGCCAGTCAGCGCTGGCAGATCGGAGCGGGGAGAGGGGAATCCAGCCCCTCCCCCTGTCACGGCAGAGAGCCGTGACAGGATCGAGGTGAGCGAACCTGGTTTCTGTTCACTCACCTTCCGATCTACTGAAGCCGACCTGTGACAGTCTCAGTGTCACAGGTTGGCTAGAACTATGAGGTGAGTGGAAAATCACTCATCTCATAGTTCTCCTTTAAACACCGACTTTCCTGTAAGTACATTTTCATTTGCGTGTTGTACAAATACTTACCCTTTTACACTATGGAGGCGCTCTGTCTTGTCCCTTGTTTCCTGAACACTAAACGGTACATGTGCAGCTGTATGCATAAAATTAGGTTATAATTACTAGGTGAAAATAACACATTTAAAAAAAAACTACTTGTCCAAAGGGCTAAAAGCGGGGGCCGAATCTACATGTCCCTCATGACAATCTAAAAAATAGTTTTAATCAAAACCAGGGATGCACTGATATAGGTATAGGTTTTTTGGGTATCGAGTACAAGCACTGATACTTTGCTTTCGGTACTCACAGATACAGAGTATCGGTGTTTCTGTTTGCCCTGGGAAGCCTGCTCCATGCCATCAAGAAGCTGGACAGCAGGTAATTACATGCTACCCAGCTTCCTGATTGCCAGGGAAGGCAACTCCATGTTGTTTGGCTGGCTTGATCGCAATTGGCCAGAAAACCGGCTTCCTAGCCAATCAGCATCGAGCCAGCCAATCGGGAAAGCGGGGTGGGTCATTTGTCGCTGCCCCACTTCCTGATTGCACGGGAAGCTGGCTCCATGTTGCCTTACGGCACTGCTGCTCAGAGGAAATCTTCCGCTGACCAGAAGTTCCAGTATTGGGGAAGGTATCGGAGCATTTGGGCGAGTACAAGTAATTGCCCAAATATTCTGTATTGGTGCATCCCTAAACAAAACTGTATTTGACTGTGCTAAATAGTGCTTCTCATTGGTCAGCGTGGTCACCTGACCAATGAGTGCTTGCAATTTGCCAGCAAAATTCAAAATGCATAGGGCTGGACTGTACAGGTAAGGACTGTTCACCGAAAAGTAAGTATAGCCGGGGGGATTGGGAATGGGGGTTCTGGGAGAGGCCGGGCTTGATTGGGTGATTCCATTTTCCCATATTACTTTGGAAAGGAGAATTATGAGGTGAGTGATTTTCACTCAGCCTCATTAGTTCGAGCTGACGTGTGACAATGAAACTGCCACAGGTCGGCTCTATAGATCAGGAAGTGAGGGAACACAAACAGTCGCTCACTCACTTCTTGATCCTGTCCTTGCAGAGAGCCGTTAACTGTCACTCACGGCTCCCTGCAGGGATTCTCCCCCTCCCCGCTCCTCCAGCACTGACTGGAGGAACGAACGGGGGAGGGGCGGGTACAGCTGGCTCTGCCTCTAGATAGGCAATTACGCAGCTGGGTGGATCTCGACAGTAATGTCAGGATCCGTGTCGGCTGCGGCGGTCTCAGTATATAGTGAGCTGTAGCTCGCGGTATACTGAGCTTTGGGTCATGGGAGGACGCTAGTTTATGTCCTCCTGTGACCCTTAGGGGAACTATGGGGAAAAACACAGACCCTATAGTTCTCCTTTAATGCACATTGTGCGTGTAGGAGAGTTCCGCTGCTTGGCTAACACAATATGGCACACAGTGGAATGGCAGCAGCACTCAACAC